CCCAGAGGATAGAGCCACACTGCACACTGACATACACATAGCAAATGACATTAAGACAACCCATGTCTTGGATCATTCTTTTTTTCTAAGGGCTGCTCATTTATCCCCTCCTTGTCTTCTCTTTGGAGTCCCTGGATGGTGCAAACAATTAAGTGCTCAACTACTAACCAAAAGGTTGATGGTTCAAACCTACCTAGAGGTGCCTCAAAAGAAAGGATTAGAGATCTGCTTCCAAAAGGTCACAGTTTTGAAAACACTATGGAGCAATTCTACTCTGTAACACTTGGGGTCACCATGACTTAGAATTGACTTGACAGCAACTGGTTTGGTTTTTGTCCCCTCTTCAGGTAGAAAATTCCACGGCAGGAAGTGTCAGAGCTCAGAGGAAGTTAAGAAACCTTCCAGAATATGGATAAACCTTGAACACATCATGCTGAGTGAAAGAAGCCAGTCATAAAAGGCTACATATTGTAAGATCACACCTATGTGAAATGTCCAGAACAGGCAAATCCACCTATGTGAAATGTCCAGAAGAGGCAAATCCATAGAGACAGGAAGTAGATTAGTGGTTACCAGGGATGGGGATAGGAAAGAAGAGGTAGTTACTGCTTATGGGTGTAAGGTTTCCATTTGGGGTGACAAAAACATTCTGGAATTAGATGGTGGTGATGGTTGCACAAGGAGTCCTGGTGGTGCAGTGGTTAAAGCACTTGGCTGCTAACCAAAAGGTCAGTGGTTCAAACCCACCAGCAGGAGAAAGATGTGGCAGTCTGCTCCCATAAAGATTACAGCCTTGGAAACTCTATGGAACAGTTCTACTCTGTCCTATAGGGTCACTATGAGTCGGAATTGACTAAATGGCAATGGGTTTTTTTGGTTGGATGGTTGCACATCATGGTGAATGTAATTAATGTCACTGAATTGTACATTTAAAAATGGTTAAAATGGCAATTTTTGTTTTGTTACATATTTTACAATAAAATTGAAAAAAAAGAACCAGCATCCTTCATGACTTTCTTGAGCAGGTGAATTGATGCAACCAACAAACTAGCTCCAAACTTCCTGTGAAAAAACCCATTTATTGGGAAAAAAAAAAAAGAAATATTCTAGTCCATTGTCTGTATTTCCCAGATGAGGAGAGTTCAGCTAGGGTGTGGCTTAACAGCGTTAAGTCAGCAAAAAGGCCTCTGACTGTTGAAGGCCGTAGGGATTCACTACCCCGTGTGGTTGCCACACTTGAGTGGCAAAGCAGGTGCCATGGGACCCATTGTTTGTGCTCCTGTCTCTTGGGGGGAACTGAGGAGTCCTCAAGGAGCTTGGGGCACTCACGGGCCGTGCACTGTGGGTCACGCGTGTGCCTTGGTGGGGATGTTTCCATACCCACCGCCCAGCTGCCTCCCAGCCTCTTTGTTGACGCCTCCAGGCCAGTGTGCTAGGAAGTGGCCGTAGGAGCTTCTTCCCAGAGCTGGACAGGCCAACTGGTCCTTCCAACTGTACCCCCTCTTACATGCTTTCTGCTCACCAAAGCTCTGGCCCTTGTTATGTAACTTTCTCCTCGATTGTTGCCAAAGCACAGACCAAGAGAGCTGGGGGAGACTGTCCACCAGACAGGACCTGCCAGTTAGCATTGGCATCGATCCCTCCCCACAAGTGGAGTGGCCAGCAATGAGGAGCAAGAATGAGTAGCTCCATCTTACCATATTGATTCCTTTGGATTATTCACCTTTAAGGAGTTCACTCATTCAGTGGAATATTAATTTTCAATGAGCCCCTCACAAGGGTGGGGTGGAGCAGTGGGTGAAGCAGCCAGGGAGGGAGATATCTCTCAGGCCTACTGTCCCCTCACCCACAAGCCACAGTCACCAGTTCCTATGTGTCCTTCAGAGAAGCCCTGGTCCGCGTATGCAGCACAGACAGAAGTTGGGTACACACACTGCTCAGCTCTGGACCCTTTTGAACTAAAGCAAGCCCTCTGGTAGCGATATTCTTACCACACATGGGGATTCCTGACCTTAATCAGTGACTCACGACAGGACAGTCTTTTAGGGTTTGGCTTCAGCTTCTAGAATGTTCCTGAGAGCCCAGCACATTTAGCTCGAGATTGCTGTCTCCCGCAGAATGCCCATGAGGGCATTCGTAGTTCAGTGGTAGAATTCTCACCTTCCATGCTGGAGACTTGGGTTTGATTCCCAGCCAATGCACCTCATGTGCAGCCACCACCCATCTGTCAGTGGAGGCTTGCGTGTTACTAGGATGCTGAAGAGGTTTCAGCAGAGCTTCCAGACTAAAATAGATTAGGAATAAAGGCTGGTGATCGACTTCTGAAAATCAGCCAATGAAAACCCTATGGATCACAACAGAACAGTGTCTTCTGAGAGCCTAGATGCTCTGCTGAAACCTATCCACCATGGGTGACCCTACTGGTATCTGAAACACTAATAGCATAGTTTCCAGCATAGTAGCAACATGCAAGCCACCAGAGTACAATGAACTGTCAGACAGGGTGTGGATAGAGCATCTGGGGTGGCCAGATTTACCAAATAAACACAGATCAACCAGTTATATTTGAATTTCAGAATCAACAGGAACATACTCAGTACAATCATGTCCCGGACTCCAAGTATTTTCCATGTGCTGGCCCTGCTGGTGTCAGCCCCAATTTTGAATAACCTGCTGGGCATAGCCTTGTGACCTGAGGCTTTGTAAGGTTTTGGAGAGAGAGAAGAACCAGCTCCAAAGATTCATCGGTTCTAAGTTGAGATGTTGAACTTTAGGCAACAGTTGAGACCTTGAACTTCAGGCAACACCAACCCTTACAAGACGTCTGAGTCCCATTTTGATGTCCTCCTACCTCACAAATGTGCATCATGCTGCATGTGAATGGGGAGCTGAATGCGGAGCCGGATGCTTGACTTCTTGGGTGGCTGGACCCAGGTTCTGGCCCTTTTCTCCAGGAGAAGTCATGGCTTTTCTGAGGAGGGGATGGCAGAATGAGCTCTGAGGTGTGGTATAAAGGGGTTGGAAGATTCTAGACAGAGATGATGTGGATGTCTCACCAAGGAAGGCCAGACCAGGCTGCAGGTGTCTCTCTTTGTTTAAAGCCCATCCAGCCCTGCTCTGGGTGTCCCCACCCCCAGGACACACCCAGGGAGGGGCTCTGGTCTGACAAGAGCTAGGTGCTCAGGGAGACAGAGAGGGGGTGGGGCAGAGACAGAAAGAAACCCTGGGACTGAGGGATGTGGGGTGTTGCCAGCCAGGACTTCCTCCTGTGGTGGGTGAGGACAGAGGAATCTTCTGGAGGCAGGAAGAACTTCTTGGAGGAATGGGGCCCCCTTTCCTGGGGTGGGGTGGCTCTAGAAGAAGCACTGGGCTCAGGCGAGCACACAGGCTCAAGATGCCAGGGCGAAACCACTGCCCTGTGTGGTGTTGGGCATTCCTGGAATCGACATCATCTGTGTCACACACATGCTACCTCTGGTCAACGAGCCTCCCAAGGCACACAGGGTCACCACCACTCACGCCAGCCACATGCCCAGTGATGCACCGCCATCCCCAAATTTGGTTTCTGGTAACATGCCCTGGGGGGGGGTGTGTGGGGAGAGGATGGTGGCTAAGCCTTGTGTGACCTGGGGTTTCCATGTCCTCATCGTGGGACGCCAGCTCTGCAAGAGGTGGGGTGGCCACTCCCTTAGCCTGTCCCTGCCCTTGATCCTGTCTGGGGCTCTGGAGGACATCTGCCCCTGAAGGCAGGACTTTGTCCCTTTTGGTTCCTGCTGTGTCCCCAGCGCAGCACACTGTGGGCGCTCAGTGGATGTCTGACGCTGGGAAGACCTCCAAGGGGAAACTGAGGGGCTGTGAGGGAAAGGTCTCCAACGTCCCTGCACTGAGACCAGCGCGCCCCCTGGCGGCCGAGGGCAGAGCGACCCGACCGGGCCACCCTGCTCTCTGGGGAACTGACAAGAGTGTGCGAACCCCGGCCCGACGGGACCTAAACCCCCGCCCCTCAGCCACCAGCGTCCTTGACTTCGCTCCGTCTGGGGTACAGACTCTAGAGCCTCTGCAGTGACACTGAGGGCCCATGGTACGTGTGGTCCTCCTCCTGTGGAAACACCTGGAGAACCAACTCCCCGGCCCCGCCATCCCGTGAGGCCTCCTGCTCAGAGCTGGAGCGGGGTCAGAGGTGACAGGGTGCCGAGAGCCCCTGGTAGGGGCGGCGGGAGCGAGCGCGGAATGTTCTAGAACCCCGAGGCTGGCAGGGGAACGTGTACCCGGCGTTGACTTGGGAGGGTTCCTCTGCGCGCTGCCTGGGGGCTGGGAGAGGTTGGAGGAGGGGCAGTGGGTGGACTCGGCGGGGCCCACGGTGAGATGGGGGGCGTCAAGGACGACGACGCCCTAGGCCCCTCCCCGCTGGCCGCTCCTTCCCTGCCAGGCCGTCAGTGCCATAGGAATCTGCCAGGCCTTACTGCTCCCCAGGAACCCGCATACGGCTGCCTGCCCGAAGCTGACGTCCACGTGAGACTCTCTGGGACCCGGTGGGCAAGGCTGGCTCCGACCGCACACGGGGATTCATCGTCTGACCCCGACCACTCCAGCCGCCTTGGCCACGTGCACCCATGGATCCCTGTCCTTCCTCCCAGACGTGCATCTTCTCCGTCCTCTGCTCAGAATCACTGCGCTACTGCAGCCGTTCCCCCCACCCCGCCCCTACCTCCGCCTCAGGGCCTTCCCTGCAAGCTCGCCTGCAAGGGTCCACCCGTGCGTCCCCTCCCCCATACACCCCTCTCCCCCGCGTGTCCTTTTTCTCCCGCCTCCCTCCCCCAACATGTCCCTTCCCCCACGTTGCCCCTCCTCTCCCCTGTAGGTCCCTGCTCTCAACGTGTCCTCTTCCCCAAGCACCCTTCCCTGTGGCCCCTCCCACGTGTCCCTTTCCTCCTCCCTCCCCCAGTCGCATCGCCGCATCAGCTCTGAACTGTTCCCTGTTAGAAGACTCCCATTGCCCACCTGCCCACCGGGTCACGCGGGAGGGGGAAGGTACAAGCACAAAAACACGAAGCTCCTGCCAAGTTACTTTACTCTGGATAGACAGGAGACCCACAGGTGGGGCTGTGCTGTACGGTTACGCTTATGAACAGTGTTTTGTATCTAGTTCTCTTCCTGATTAAAAGCACCAGCTGAAGTTACAGGCTGCTAAAATCAAATACTACAAACCCATGAAAAGACATCACACCACACACGCTCATTATTAAAACTCTTAACGAAACTGAGAGACAAGGAGCCATCCATGCGGCGCAGCAGTTCCGGGTCCTCTGCCCGTTCCCTGGGAGGGAAGCAGACGGACCCTGGGAGCGCAAGAGAGGTCGAGCACGCGTTCACCACAAGGTGGCACCAAAGTCTGGTCAGCGTCCTGAAATTCACCGGCCGCTGCCCAGATGGACTCACAAAAAAAGTAGTAATCAAAAGATTTATGTAATCAAAGATGCTACTGTGAAGGAAGGTTCAAAGACTGTGCACACACACGCACAAGCACACACACAAACACACAAGTGCACACGTTAACATGCACACACAAGTGCACACATGCGCTCACAACGTGGTTTGGCTTCCACAGAGTGAAACATTAAATATCGGGTACTGGATTCTTACTGTAACTTACGGTTTTATCCTTAACTTCACATATACACAGAAAACAGGGTGGTCACTAAAAGCAAACACCAGGGCAGGTGTTAAGCTGTGAGGTTCTTATTCCAATTGCTCTAACACAAACATCGTATCAGCAGAGAAAGGCTTAATAAATATGCAGACGAACATGATGAACAACGTGATTGAGCAGATGCGGGGCTGAGAAGCCATGTAGCTGGGCCTGGCCAGGGGATGCAGGGGCCGGGGGCTCCCTCAAGGGGCTCCGTTCTGGTGGGACTGGGCAGAGGACAAGGCTTGGGAGGAAGACAGGCCAGGGGCTCCTGAGGCAACCCAAGGTGATGCAGGGACAGGGTCCCTGCGAGGCTAAGGCATGGCCAGGCCCCCAGACTGGAACACAGACTCAGGAAGTCCCCACATTCTTGGCACAGACGGATACTTGAAGTGGCAGCCTCACAGCACAGGTGTGCTGAGATCCCAGTCAGCAAGCCAGTCAGTGAGCCAGACTGCCCGCCTTGCGTGCTGGGGGTGCTGGGAACAGGATGCGGCTGCATAGCCTGGTTACCAATGCCTGCTGGGGTGCCTTCTGGACAACCAGACAGGGTGTATGGCTGGCCAGCTGTCTGAGGCCGGCAGAGTGCCTGTGACCAGCTCTGGGACACCCTGTGGGGCAGGGAAGTAGGGGGCGCCCTTCTTCTCAAGAGGGGACCACAGAGCTGCTGAGAGGAAAGGCCTCTCATTCCAGGCTGGAAGCCCTGCTCCAGCTCCGTGTCCCTAGCCCACACTTGCACACACATGCGCATACATACACACATCTAGACACATATATCCCCGAACACAAAGCTGATGGCATCTGGAAATGCGAGTCCTTAGAGGGCCGCTGGGCAGTGGCCATGGCCATCGGGTGGATGCAGAGAGGCTGGGACAAGCGTTGCAGTGGACATGCACTGTCCCCTCCATGAGTTGTCACTTTTTTCCCTCCAAATTTTCAATTTGAGCTGAAGCCATGGCTCTGGACACTGCCTGCATGAACTGTGAGGGCCCTGCGCCGTCAAAGTGGAGGTCACCACCTGTACAGAGGGCCATGCCCCACACCAGCTCTGCTTCCTGGTGGGCTGGATTCGACGTGATTCAACGTAGAGAAGGGGAATGTGTTCAGTGTCCACTACCAGGGTGGCTCCGACCTGATACACACACCACAGCCCCAGGGTGGGTGGTAAGCTTTCCACTGTCCTTCCAGCAAGGCGCATGGGGCCTGGCCCCAAACAGAAGACGGTGCCCACACCATGCCTGGAAAGAGCAACTCTGGGCCGGCAGGGTTACGTCAGGGCCATCCCAGGACCAGCCTCACAGGAGGCTGGCCAGGCTGGTGTTGGGTCCATTCTGGGCCTGGAACTGCACAGGGGGTGGGCCGTCCGTCCACTGCGGGGTGGGGGTGGGGGAAGGAGGCACATAAGTGAGGTCCGGCAGGCCCCACTCCCCACGCCCAGTCAGATGACCCGGGAACTCCCAGAGGCCCCCTCCCAGCCCCACCCATACCGTGATGAGGTTGTGCTCTGGGAGGCTGCAGGCCTCAATGTGGTCCTGGAGCAGCTGCTGCGAGAAGTTCTGGTGCATCTGGGCAGCCTCATGTGCATCCATGGCATTCCCACAGGCTTTGTTCAGGTCTGGGGGTAGGCACATCACACACACCCAGCTCGTCCCTCCCTGGGCACATCATCTCCTGGGCATGTCACCTCCCAGGCGCATCACCCTCCGCCCCGACACATCATCTCCTGAGCATGTCATACCCCTCCATGTCAACCCCTCCAGGCATGTCACCCCCTCCCCAGCACATCACCCTTGGACAGGTCATTCCCATGGGCTCTGCCTAGCACCAATGTACCCGGGGAGGGCCGGGAGGAGGGGCCACTGCCACACTCACCTCTGAGCAGGGCTGATGACCACAGCTGTACTGACATGTCAGGGATCTTGCTGGCCAGCTGCATGGCGGGCACTACCATGTTGTTACTCTCCTGTCAAACCATAGTGGTGAAGGGACTGAGTGGGCCAGAGGTGGCAGCAGCCTGGGACACACCCACTGAGCCCAGTGTGGGCTGTCTTCCTGCTGCTGCCAGCAAATTCCTATTCCTTTTTTAGAGCCCACCCCAAATGGCCCTTCTCTCTGAAGCACTCCCCAACCACTCAGGAAGCATAAGTCACTCGCACCCCATGCTCCCGCAGTGCCCCCTTCACAGCCCCCCTGAGCACCTGGGTGATTCCATGCCTCTGACACAGGCACTGGCGAGTCAGCTCTGGGCCCCAATCAGGAGGATGGCAGAAATGCAGATTCAGGGGTCCCGGGGCCAGCAGAGCTGGGAGGGGCAGAACCTGCACTTCCAACAAGCACCATGGGGGACTTGGAGGCTGCTTGCAGGTTCGATGAGGAAACAAAGGCAAGATGGGACTTTCTCACATCAGGGCTCCTTGGTGGGGCCACCCCCACGTGCAGCAACTCTCGGATGAGGCACCAAGAACCGTGGACCCGCTCCTGGCCTGGTGCCTCAGGGCCTCTTCGGAGTGGGGCAAGGTGCTTTGCCCTCCTGCTCCCAGCATCCCCCCACCTCTGCCATGAGGCCCTGCACAGGCTGCCCTTGGACCTCTGGACTGGGGAGGGGCTCTGTACTGCCTAGGTTGCCTGGTCAGGGACCACAAAGCTCTAATCCTCACCGCTGGCCCAGGGATGAGAGGTCCAGGGCGACACTTGGAGAAGCCCGCACACTGAAGCCCCATAGCTTGGGAACTCATCATGCAGAGACACAACCCTTCAAACCAACTTCTGTGCCCCAGCTTTGGGATAACCATGGCTTCGTGGGGAGGCACATCGTCACTAGAGACACAAAACCAACAACTTCATGTGTCCTCCCCTAGGCTGGCTCCTGGTTGTACAGCTTTTTAAAACACCACCAAGCCTCAGCATGCAGAGGAGAATGGGGAGAATGCTCCTCCCAGCTCCTTAGGCTCATGTAGGCCCAGGCTGTGGCACAGTGGCCCCGCTGTCTGGAAGCCAAAGGGAGGGGGAGTCCCAGGAAGGGACAAATGGTCCTCCCTGTGCTCAGGGACGTGTGCCCTGAGGGATCTGTCCCAGGAAACTTCGACAGGACATAACGCAACTTTCAAACTCCTGCTGCCATTAAGAGCGCTGATGACGCAGAAAGGAAGGACAGAACCACACGGCCACCAAACCCAGGACGGCACCCATCCTACACCTGCATGGGGACAGGCAGTGGGGTCTCCTCTGCTCTCTGAGTTTCTATAACACACATATGACACATAAGACATATGCTGCAATGCCTTCTTTAACAAACCCAAGGCCCATGAAGTAGAGGAATGACTAAGTAGGTGGCTACACACACTCCAACAGGGGACCTGGATATGGGACACCCAGAGATGTGATGGTTTAGGGGAGGGGAACCAGGGATGGCTCTGGTGTGAAGGTTTCGGAAAGCAGGGCTTCAAACCAGTTTGAACTGGTTCAGTCATTGCCGACGTAGGAAAACAGGAACAGACCTGAAGTTTTACAATTTGGCAGATTCGGCACAGTACCCAAAATAGGAAAAATAACAGTTGAAGCCCGAGAATGGAAGACTCAGAAGAGGCACAGTGAGCCCTTTCATAAGCCTGATGTGTGAATTTGGATTATTGGCAGCACTGTAGGAGAGCAACACACTTCAAAGTGGCATCATCAACTGCCCTCTTTTAAGTGGGGCAGCACTGCTTTGGATTGTGCTCAAAATCTGAGAGCAAGAGATTTGGTTGCTCACACACTACAGGGGAAGTCAGCACAACTGGACTAAACAAAAGCTAAGAAGTTTCCTGAATACAATCAAACACCTCAAGGGACAGAGTAGTAGGGGCGGGGGTCTGGGGACCATGGTTTCAGGGGACATCCAGGTCAACTGGCATAACAAAGTTTATTAAGAAATGTTCTGCATCCCACTTTGGTGAGGGGCATCTGGGGTCTTAAAAGCTAGCGAACGGCCATCTAAGATGCATCAGTTGGTCCCAATCCACCTGGAGCAAAGGAAGATGAAGAACACCAAAGACACAAGGAGAGTATTAGCCCAAGAGACAGAAAGGGGCACATAAATCAGAGACTTCATCAGCCTGAGACCAGAAGAACTAGATGGTGCCCGGCTACCACCAATGACCGCCCTGACAGGGAACACAAGAGAGAGTTCCTGATGGAGTAGGAGAAAAGTAGGGTACAGAACTCAAATTCTAGTACAAAGACCAGACTAAATGGTTTGACTGAGACTGGAGGGACCCCAGAAGACATGGCCCCCAGACTCTCTGTTAGCCCAAAACTAAAACCATTCCCGAGGCCAACTCTTCAAACAGATTAGACTGGACTATAGAACATAAAATGGTATTTGTGAAGAGTGTGCTTTTTAGCTCAAGTAGACACATGAGACTAAATGGGCAGCTCCTGTCCAGAAGCGAGATGAGAAGGCAAAGAGGGTCAGGAGCTGTTTGAATGGACTTGGGAAATCCGGGGTAGAAAGGAGGAGTGTGCTGTTACAGTACAGGGAGAGCAACCAGGGTCACATAACAATGTGTGTATAAATTTTTGTATAAGAGACTAACTTGAATTGTAAACTTTCACTTAAAGCACAACAACTTTTAAAAAAAAAAAAAAAGACAAATTTGGTTGCTATGCAACACATACCCTGCCCTTGTTCTTTAAAAGGAAGATTAAGTTCCCAGCAGGGCTTTGACCTGTAATTTTTCCTGTTCTGGCTATCTTTCTGGTTCACTGTAACTTTACAGCTGAGGGTGGGGGAATGGCATCCTGAGGCAGAGCAGAGACCTGAAAGTGAGATAGTTGGTCCTACCCATCATTGGCCTCTGATCAACAGAATGGGGGGAGGGCAGGGGGACAGGTGTACAGGTGTCAGGGTAGGATTCAAAACCAAGTTTGCTGGGGCCACAGGGTCCCAGCTACTCTGCATTTGGAGCCCTGCCTGTCCCTGCCCCCTGTAGGAAGGCAGGAATTGGGGGGGCTTTGGGGAGATTCCCTGAGGGAGCCTGTCATGGGGGGTTTGGGGGAGACCCTTGAGGGTGCACCATGGCTCAGCAGTCACTTACTCTGTGGTTCCCCAGCACATAGAAGATGTGGCCCAGCAGCACCAGGGAGCAGGCCGTCAGCCGGTTCAGGTCCTCTGCGTTGGACATCTTCAGAGTTTCCCGCAGGAACCGCCTATGCAAGGGGACAGGTGCTGAGCCTCCTCCAGGACCCCTTCCCAGCAGCCTTGAGGCCACAAGCCTCAGCAGGTGGGACAGGGCCCTGAGGCTAGGGGCAGCCTGGAGGGTGGGAAGGGGGATGGGGGGGAGGATGGACAACAGACACGTGGCACTCACTTGGCCTCATTGTAGCGCCCCTGGAAGAAAGAGAAGAGCCCACGTACGTAGAAGGCAGCCGCCCGGAGGCAGTGGGAGCTGGGGAGGAGGAAACAGAATGTCAGGCCTGTTCTATGGGGTGGGTGAGGGGGCTGCAGCCCACCGATGGTCCAGAAGGAGGGGGTGCCCTGGACACTCCGCCCCTAGAGCAAAGGGCAGGAGGCTGTGGTGTACCTGACAGGGAAGCTGTGGTCTGGGTTGATCCTCTCCAGCAGACTGTACAGCTAGGGGTGGAAAAGCCAGTCAGGGTGTGGAGATTCTGAACGTGGTGCATTCTGCCCAAGATCTGACAGATTTCCCAGTGGTGTGGAACCCAAGTGCTGTACCCGAAATGGAGTCATGCACCCAAAAGAGCAGAGGGGACCTGAGGCCTGTAGGCTGAGGTTCTATCTGGAGGGGACGAGGAGCCCGGGAGGCCGATGGGTGTTGTGACTGGTGCTTTGGGAGTCCTTTGGCTACTGCATGGGGGGCTGGGGGACGAACATGAAGAGGGGTCCACAAGGGGGCAGCCTCTATGGAGTAGATGCCTGGGTGGCAGACAGGAGACTGAGGCCCAGAAGAGAGGGCCACAGGTGATAGGAAGTCACATCTGGGTGCTCTGGAGGGGGGACCCCAGGGCTGGAGGGGGGACCCCCAGGGCTGAGGGTGGTGCAGGGCTGAAGGGGGAACTCTAGGGCTGGAGGATGGAGGGAGGGACCCCAGGACTGGAGAGTGGTGCAGAGTTGGAGGGGGGACCCTACGGGAGGAAGGGGACTCCAGGTTAAGAGAGGGCACAGGTTGTGGCCAGTGTTGGTGTAAAAACTTGTGTGAGCACATGCAGCCTGGGAGGGGGATCCTGGGTGTCTCCCCCTCCCCCAGGGCTGGCCATCATGGCCGTTGTCCAGCCTAGGCCCAGGGTGCTCCCTGCCCTGAGCACTGAGGCCCTGTGGCCTTGCCAACTCCCCAAAGCACAGCAGCAGCCCTGGGTGGACATGGCACTGTCTTCAGTGGGGCTCCTCCCACCTGGAGGCCGCCCTCACGCCCAATGCCTGGGCCTTGCTGAGCCTGCTACGCCGGGACAGCCTATACAGGAGGAGGTCGAGAGGCAGCAAACACGAAGCATGTCACCTACTACCTCTTGGTGCCTGTTTCCTTCCCGGATGTATACACTCGCCAGGTTGGTGACAATGAAGGCCCACAGCTCCTGGTGGTTGGTGAGCTGGAGAAAGACATGGCTAACAAGCATCTGTCCTTTGCAGACAAGCCTCCTGACGCACCACAACACAGTGTTAACTTCTCATCACAAAACCACCAGCTGTATTCAGAAAGTGAGAAGCCCAGAAACCAGCCGCCTGATTCCCCCATCAGGACAGGCTCCTCTGATGGTCCTGGCGGCTCTTCCCATGGCTGCACCACCTCCTGACAGGGCTGTGGAGGTGCTGCCCCTCACACCTGTCTGCGTGGCCTCAGGGAGCTGGCCTGGGCACCCTGGGGGTGCACACCACAGGGGATCTTGGTGGTGGGGGGGTGCGGTGTGATGAGAGCAGCTGCAGCCACTTGTGGGAGCAGACAAAAGAGGGCAGGGAACAGTCACGAGGCACCTGGGAGCCGCAGGCATGACCAGGGCGGACGGCACAAACCAGATACTGAAGGGCAAGGAATGGCCATGACTCAACCTAGGAGCTGAGGGCAGGGCAGGCATGGAGGGTACTGGTTCGGCTGAGGCAGGTGGTGCAGACCCATCGGGGGGAAGAGTGCAAAAGGAGGGGCCACGGAGGGACCCACACTGGCTGTGTAGCCTGCACCACAGGGCCTAAAGCCCCCAACCCTGGCCAGTGGTGGGGATGGCAGCACCTAGTCATACAGAGGACCATGGGTGAAGGGGCTCTGAGCTGTACAAGAGGCAGACATTCAGGCCTCTCTATGGGCCTAGCCACAACACTTGGTCCAGTGGTCAGAGCACACAGCGGATGGTGCCCCAGTGGTCCCAGCTCACTGTGGGTTGCAGTCTTGTGGCGGGAGGGAAACCCCCCTCCTCCAGCCAAATGAGGTGCCCTCACTGTCCCCAGGTTATGTGGCTGGTGTGGGGCTGGGCAGACCCAGTTGAGCCCCAGCTCTGGCCCTCACCACGGGATAGCTTTGGGCAAGTGTCCCGAGCCCACTTAGAAGACCCAGGCTTCCAGCTGAGCAGTGTCCCGCATTAGCCGGCAGGTGTAAGGGCTAAGCAGGCAGCCCTGGTGGAGCCTGGCCCGTCTGTGCGGTGGCCCTGGAGTCCCACCACACCTGCCTCCCTGGTCATGTCCTCTACCTCCACCCCCTTGAGTGCTGGGTGTCACCACCACCATGTCCAAGCCCCGTCTCAGAGGGAAAGAAGCACTTCGAGCCGTCCCTGGTACACACAGACCCAGCACGGGTCCCTCCAAGGAAAGCCCCAGGAGAACAGTGTGTTCCTGCCATGACCAGCATGAGGCCTGACCCACGAACATGCCATGCCTACCACTGCATGGCATGGATGACCCCAGCACTGTTACTGCTGTCCCCCGCGCCTGCCCCTTACCCGCAGGGCTGTGGTGAACTGGGCCTCCGCATTGTCCATGCAATTCACTGAGACGCAGTACAGGCCCTGGAAGCGGGGACTGCATGTTAGAACCCAACCATGGACATTCTAGATCTCGCCGGGGCAAGGTGGGTGGCTGCACTCACCAGCAGCGTGTGTAGCTGCGCTGCATGGTTAGAGAAGAGCCGCGGGGACTGCTGGCACAGCTGGCAGACCTGGGAGATCTGGTGGGGGGGAAGGGAAATGGCATCACATGAGCTGGCCTTCCCCATACCTGCCTGCTCAGGAAGGAGTGGGATGGAGGGTTGTCGTTAGGCGACCCCCACCCTGAGCATGCAAGTTCTGGGGATGCGGCCGTCCTTTAGTCGAAGTGCCCATGGAAGGGTGACCCAATTTCCTAGGTGATGCCCTAAGGCCCAGCTTATCCCTGCTGCCCCCAGGCCCACCTCCTGCAGAGCAGTGGCCTTGTGCCCCGTGACGAGCCGGCACATGATGATGTGCTCCAGCAGGATCACTTGGAAGGAGGACAGGATAGGGCTGCAGTCGAGCACTGGGAGGAGAGGAGGCGGGGCGGCACAAGATGAGTGTGGGGCAGGCGTAAGGGTGATAACGGGGACGGTATGGGGGCTGGTGGGCTTCCCACCAGCCTTGGACACCTCTGCCCCATATCCTGCCTGCAGACCCTGCCCACGTGGCTCTCCTGCCCCTATCCCACTCCCAACTCAGGCCCCCTGATGACCCTCACCAAGGAGGAATCACGTCCCCATTTCCAGAAAATGTGGGGTGCCTGGACGGTCCTCCCTCACTCTTGCCCAGCGCTCAGGACACAAGGTCTGAGATGGCTAAGGCTGCAGGCAGCAAGTGAGACCTTGGGAGGGACCGCAGCCCCTTGGTGTCTGCTGCTCGAGCCCAACAGCTGACTGACCAAGGGGTTTAGGTTTTCCTCCCACCAGTTCTTGGGCTCTGAGCATTTCCCCAAGTGCTCACAGGAGACTGGGGCACGGTGTCTACAGGGCCCCACGGTAGCATGGTTCCTCTGGCTCCACAGGATGGCGTTAGGCAGCTGTGGAGTCCGCAAGAGCCCCCAGCTCCCAGAGACCCTCGCCTTGGCCTGGACCCCGCCAATTTTACAACACCAGCAATAAAGAGCAAAAGCGACTGCTGCCTGCTCTAGAAATCCCACTTACCCACCAAGCAGGGATGCCCGGTGCCCCCTCAGATGCTGCCCCACTCAGCCCCCACAGGGACACGCAGCCAGGACACCTCCAGGGTGCAGTATGCTGCTGACTCACTCTTGAGCTTCTCAAGCTGCATGAGGGCCTTGTCTGTATATTTCTGTGCCTTCTCCAGGTAGCCAGCCTGCATGGAGTGCATCACGGTCACCTGTGACAAGAACAGGTGGCGTTACGGGGGCCTGCGCATCTGTGCCCGCAGGCTGGACGGCACTCACCAGGTAGACGAGCACGCACATGTGCTCCTTGGGCAGCCAGTGGAAGAGGTCGGCAGGGTTGCTGGGCAGGATCTCATCGTCATGCAGCGTGGAGATGGTTTGGATACACTGCTGCAGCTGCTTCAGGCACGGCTTCACACTCTTCACCTGGGCAAGGTGCAGGGCACACCTGAGCCGACAGCTGAGATACGTGCATCAAGACCAGCACACCTGAGCCCTACACCTGAACTGTACACCTGAACTGTGTACACCTGAACCTACACCTAAGCCTGCACCTACCTAATCCTGCACCTAAACCCCACACCTGAGCTGCTAGATGACTACCCCACTGAGCTCCCTGCCCAGCGCCTCTCAGGAGGAGCCCAGCCCTCACATGGTGCTCATCAGGTCTCTCTACCTTTCCTCCCTGGCTCCCCAATCCCTCTGCCCAGGAGCCCCCTACCCTGTTCTTTGCTGTGTCCTACCTCTTGCAGGAACCCCCAGCCCCAAGTGGGTCAGCCTCGCAGGAACGCATCTGCCTGCCCAGCCAGGCCATGGCATAACACAGAAGCATGGGAGAACCATCCCCACAGAGCCCATGCAGGCCTTGGCCAGGAGCTGGGGGTTGGCCTCAGGGGCAAGAAAAGGCCTCTCAGCCCAGACTCCTGCAGGTGACGCAGTTTGTGCAGACTAGACTCCTCATGAAAGGAGCCCTTGCCTGAGGCCCCACAGCCCACAGAACACTTGAGTCCCACACAGCACCCATGAGGGCACAGAACGTGGCCTCGAACCACGGGGGAAGGATGCATGTGGCTAGTCCACAGGCAGGCAGCCCCTCACGTGGTCTAAGTGCTAAGAATAAGCCTCTCACAACCACGCAGATGACGATGGCTTGGACTTTGACACACTGACCACACCAACCCCTGCCCTAGACCTGCAGTTGTCACCAGACAAACGAGGAAAAGGCAACAGAGAGAGCATGGCTGAGCATAGGGAAGCCCAGACGACAGACACATCTGTGACAAATAGGGTAGTCCAAGAGGGCGCAATGTGTGCCAAGGCCCCGGGGATGGACAGGGCAGCCAGTGGACACCAACGCTGAGGGCACTCTGTGGTGTCCGCTCCCCTACGAAGTAGCCCCCAGACCCAGCAGCAGCCTGACCCCATGCTCGGGGTAGCACACACCTGCCCAGCATCCAGGTAGTGGGTCACTTGCAGCACCAGGAAGAAGACCCGAAGTGACTCCTTCTGGATAGGGTTCCCCTGCCAGTTCTCGACGATCTGCCCACACAGCGTCAGCAGCGGGTGGACCTCCTGCAGCTTTCGCTCCATCAGCAGCAGCTAGGGGAATGTACATGTCCTGGGGCCCCATGTGGGGAGGGTGCTGTGCCACGGTACAGGTGGGGCTCAAAGAGGAGGAGCCACTGCCCAGATCATGGGCTTGGAGGGGCAAAACCAGACAGAACTGGGCCCGTGGGCTCCAAGCCCCATTCCTCCCCTGCACAACCACCCCCTAGAGCCTGAACCTCAACTCTGAACCCAGGCAGTAGGCAGGGACCTTGCCCTCACCTCCGTGGTGTCAGCCATGCCTGCAGCTGTGACCAGACTCACTTACCATCCCTTTGCTGAGCAGGAACAGCGCCCTGGAAGAGAGTGACAGGAAATCAGGCCCAGGGAGGACACAGCCTCCAGGACCACTGTGCCCCCAACACACACAGGAATCTAACATGGGTGAGAGCAGACCCCGCTTTTCACCAAGGAGGCTGGCACTGTCTATGGGACTCCTGAGTTTTGTGCTGTTTTGTCTTTATTCGCTTTCTTTGCACAGTTAGACCCTCCCTGTGGGCTCTAACCTCGCCTTGCCACAGCCCCCTGCGCCTCCCTTTCCTGCCTGTGACCAGCCCTGGTCTCACTCAGGGTCTTCCGGGAACTAAGGGATGACCCGTGAGGCTCCACCAGGCCAGCAGCCACCACACTGCCCACTATCTCTGTCCTCGTGGGAGGGGGGCAGGTTGGGGAGACGTCTGTTGTCCCTTTTAAACCTCCTTGCACTTTCCACGTAAGCACCCGCTGCTTCCATCAGCAACAGACACAATAACACAAAAGAACATCGAGAAAAGTTTGGGAAACAGTACAAGTAATGAGAGTGGGACCCAGTGGCGCTGCCTCCCCTGGCCATGCGGGTGCTTCAGTGCCTTCATGGGACTTGGGTAGTTGTGCTGCAGACAGGCCCCCCCGCATCCTGTCTACCCCAAACTCTGCCACCTTGCTGCGCTGACTGGTTGTGCTGGCCACCACGTGTCCCTGGGCAGATGGCTGCACCTCCCTGGCCCCTCGTCCTTCCAGGTCCACTACGCAAGGTGTTCTCCACATACATATACAGAGCAGTTCGCAGAGGACAATGATGTGCCCCCCTCAACTGCCTATGCCCCCTCACACCCGGCACATGCAGAGGTTCAGGGTTCAGGCTATCGAGGGCTGCTTGGGGAAGGATGCAGAGACCACGTTGTCCGCGTTCCACTGACAGGCCAGCTCCAGGGCGCTGCACTCAGAGCAGGAGGCCCATGGGCCCTGGGGCGGTCTCTGCCCCACCTTTACTTACACAGAGATCCTTTGTGGACAGACCCCCACCTAGGACCCCAGCGCACACAGAATAAAGGCAGCACTGCTTGAGCTGCCCACCTCAGAGGACTTTTCTATTTGAGAGAAAAAGAGGCAGGAGGCCCTCACGGAGCATGCACAGTTAACACCAGCCGGCTTCCAACCCGACCCTTCCCCTTTACCGGGGCCACTGGCTTCCAGTCTAAGCAGTTCTGTGCACAATAGGAACGTCCTCCCTCTTCCTCTTGCTCTGCGTGTGGAAGCCCTTTGGCATCCCCTGTGCAGTGCCCTGCACTGTGTCCCCTGAGATCATTTACAGACACTGGCGAAGCCACCAGGGCTGCACACCCCAGAACACTGCTCCCACTGTGGATACATCTACATGACAACGCAGGCAGCACAGCACACTGTTTGCGAGTCATTTAGTTACAGAGACGCTAGAAATGTGGCAGGTCCCAGCATGTGAAGCACACCAGCCACGCCTCACCATCAGAGCCCACGTCAAACTCGTCTACTCTAAGAACCTATGGGTGGAAGGCCTCGTGCAAAGTCCATCTGCATGCCTCTCATCTCACACTGAAATGCCTGTCTGTCTGTCTTCCAGGAGTGAGGAGGAAGAGTGGAGGGTGCATACCGTGTATACTCAGACCCCACCACGCGGGCGTACTCAGCCCCCACACCCAGTAGGTCGCAGGCCGACACCAGGTCCTTCTCCAGCGTGTGCAGTTGCTGAAAGGAGAGGACAGAGACCTTGGCTTTCAGGAGCTCTGCTTCACACAGAACACCTGACAGCCTCGAGGTGACCGCTGTCAGCAAGAAACTGCACCCCCTCCTGTGTCGAAGCAAACCCCCTCAGTGTAAGCTCTGAGCTGCATCAACCAAATGGTCTCCTCAGTGCTAACTGCTTTAGGCCCAGAACTCTTGCTCGCCTACAGTGTACATCACCACACCCAATGGCGCACAGGGCCAGTGGTACGTGCTTAAAGGCGTGCGCCCCTCGGGGTCGTTGTGGCAGCCGGTCATCCCCCGCAGCCAGAGGAGCAGCAGTACCCCAGGGGATCCTGGACCTACAACAAGGCTGAGGGTGGAGGGAGACCCATGCTTGCCTCCTGCAGTGGAGCAGAGATGCAGCCACGGTAGGGACCAGAGGTGGACAGGGTGGGCAGTGGTGTGGCCGAGCACTGAGCATCCCCTTGTATTCACCAACACCTCGGCCTTCAGCAGGCAGCCCACCCTGTGGCCCAGTGCTCCTCTTGCACTCGGCACAAAGGTGCGTGCGAGAATTGCGTGAGGTGGTGTAGGCACAGACCCAGGGCCCTGGGCATCACTAAGGCCAGGGCAGGCGTGGGATGTGGTGCAGGAATGGCCCTGGGAGTCCACTGGAACCCAGGGAGCCAGATCAACTGGGGCAAGGGGTCCCCTGGTGTGGGCATCCCAGCCCAGGGTCCACTAGCTGAGGTGACAGGCAGGTGTCAGGCCTGTCATGGAGGGCCAGCCAGTTTGGGGGCAGGAGCAGGGCCTGACAGTTTCTAGTAGGGGTGGCAGAGGAGTTGTAGGCCACCAGAAAAGGGTGCCCAAGGGAGACCATGGGGAGTGTGGCAGAGCCAAGACAGCCGATCCCTCACTTTGCGCACACGCCCTTCCTCCCTGGTCACGGGTCCCCTCTTAAGAAACCCGAGGCCCAGCACCTCGGAGTGCTAGCAGCTCCACGCGCAACTTGTGTATGGGGCTCTGGGAATCTCGGTCTCACTCAGGTGGGCCCTCAGTGCAGCTCTTAAAACACACAGCTCTGGAGAAGATGCCCATAGCGTAATGAGCCCAGGCCCCGTGGAGTGGCTGGGAGGGAGGGGAAGTGAAGACCTTGGCATCCATGGGGATCCCCGTCGCCCTTGAGCAGTCGCCTGAGTGCCACAGAGCTCTGGGCCCAAGGATGGAGGCTGAGGGCTCTCTCCTCAGGCCCAACACCAATGGTCCTGCCCCCCTGGTCCCCCTGTGCCCTGGTCCCTGTGCACCCTGGCCCCGGCACTCACGGCGAGCTGGAAGAGCAGGCGGCAGTGCCAGTATGGTGTCTGCTGCGAGATCTGGATCGCCTTCCTCAGGAGGGGCTTTGCTGCATCTACAGAATTCTGAAAGGAAAGACTGGAGTTTGGGGAGGAAACGACATGTAGCAGGCCAGCTGAGACCCCTCACACAGCTTCCAGTGCCTGGTGGCCGCCACTGCACGCCATCAGCAGCTCCTGGGCTGACAGATTACTTCATCAAAAAAGAGTGAGGTATGTTATTAGACTCGTCGGCTGGAAGGTTTTTGCATCACTCTTAAAATAACTTCACATCCAGCCTCACTGATTTCAGTTCAAAATCATGAATGGTCAAATCAGGTTGACAGTTCCCATTGTTCTCACTCTGCAACCACAAAGGTGCCGCCCAAGCCACCCTGTGTGTGTTCTTGTTTGAAGAAAGACAGGGCGACTTTCAGTTACAGCTGAAACCAGGAACCAAGTTGAGAGGGTACAGGAAGTAGCCTTTGGGCTGTGAACTTCAGCAGAGAGCTTCCCACACCCTGATGCAAGGTACCCTGAGGTCTTAAAACATTGGAGAGCTCTGGCTTGCTGCTGGGCCTTCCCTACCAGGGAACAGAGGTGCTTTGCTTCTGGCAACCTTAGCACATATTCTTACCTCCTGACAGTACAATTCAGACAAGAGACTCGCTGCTTCAAACTTGACATCCTCAAACTGAGGGACCTGTGAGGTCTGGTTAAGGAAACGCAAGCTGAACAGACGTTGGTATAAAGGGCACAGCGTGGGGTCCCTGTGAGGTGACCTGCACTGCTAGGTCCCTGAACTCAGAGTCTACACCTGCATCAGTGTCTGGGGCTTGCGAAAGCCGGAAGCTGAGCAAGCTGCCGGCAACACCACCGGCCTTGATGGGCAGCCTTGGGCAGGCTGGGATGCTCTGGCTGGCCCAGTGGGCAAGGCCAAACATGCAGTGCATTATCTGGTGGACCCAGGTGTACAACATGTTCTTGTACCCAACCAAGAAAAGGATACTTGCTGTGATATCAACCACTGAAAGAGAAATAGAAAAAGATTAGTTCTCAGCCATGCTGCCAGCGCCTGGCCTGGCTCCACTCTGAGGTGGACACACACTTTGCTGCCACCAGAGGCAACCAGGTGCTCTGTGGAGGCAAGGGCGCCAGCTCTGCCTATGAGGGCATGCCTCCTTCCTACTAAGGGGCTGGAATTGAAGCTACAGACAACCTGGGTGACACCTCAGGGAGTGAGGATGAGTGCTTGCCTCCCTGTCCACCAGGCACCCACCCCTTGCCTGCTGGAGCTCCCGCTTGAGCAAGGGGCCAGTAGAGACCCCCTCCCACCCTGAGACAGCTCCAGATGAGAAGGAGCTCGGGGGTGGTCTGGCCCAGTTCCTGCACTCTCATTCCCTAAGTGTGGGCTGCAACAGGGCAACAACCTGGTAGAGAAGACAGGCTTTCTCAGACCCGATACAAGCAACCAGTGACAGCCGGGAGAGTGTGCCAAGGGGGTCTGTTTGGGTCTGGGGGCCTGAGGAGAGGAGGGAGGAGTTGCTAGCAGGAGCAGCGTGGGCAGAGTCCTGAGGTAGGAAGAGCATCACAACGACAGGGAGCGTCACAGCCAGTGGGGGGTGGGGATGGCTGAGGCCTGCACTCCCCACGCCCTCTCTCTGGATGACCAGTGCTCCACCTGAAGGATGTATATCCCAGAGAAGGTCCTATGCGTGCACATGGCTTGCTGTGTGGGCAGTCAGGCCCCACACCTCACCCATCCTATGTCGGCCAATCCCTCACCTGACAGAGCCCTGGGCATAGCTGGAAGGTGGACACAGAGACAAAGGGAAGAACCGATTGCCCCAGCATCTGGGGGGAGCACAGATAAATGTGTGTGTGTGGGTGGGCTACCCAGGAAAACGGAGTAGCAAAGACATGGTGATAAAGACCCAACAGATGAGAGGCCTGTGTGCAGATGGGGAGGTTCTGGTGCTGGGGGGTGGGGCTGGGAGACCAACGGGTCTCACCATGGCTTACACCCCTGGCTATGAGTCAGAACCTCCCCAACACCACCCCTGGAGTCTGCCCAGCCCCCCTGGGTGAGGATAGGGCTCATTGAGAAGCTGACTTGAGGTTTGGGTCAGGAATGCACACAGGAGAGGAACCAGGGGCTGCATCCTGGAAGGGGCTGTGGCCAGAAAAGGGAGCTGGGGGGGCCTCCTTTGGGCAGACCAGTCCTGATGGGTATCCATTAGAGCACAAAGTACAGAGAGAGCCCAAGGCACATGAGAAAGCACCCTCTACACCAGAGCTGGCTTTAAGCAGCCCTGAGCACAGCATAGGGACAAGATGGGCTGTAAAAGACCCACCCACCCATGGCCGGCAGAGTCAGTCTTGGGGACACTGTAAGTCCGGCTGTGCTGCTGATGCCCAAGCCAGACCTAGCGACACCGTGGGTTTGGCTGTGCAGCTGATGCCATCCCCACAGAGATATGCGAAGAGGAGACAGAGGGGACTCTCATTTCAGGTCTGTGGCCAGTGGTGCGCCCCTGCCCAGCATGGAGCTGTGACAGCCATGATGGTGGGCTTCAGAGGACGCACACCGCCGTCTGCGGCCTCAGGAGCACAGCCATGCCCTCCTCCTTACGAAGCTTTGCCTGTGTCCGTGAGCTCTGTCCTATGAGGGCCGGCTGATTTCTCCTTATCGCAATAGCTTTGTGCTCCTCTTCCTTCTGAGGTTCTGAGAAATTAACATCTACTCAGTAGACATCAGCAGAGCCTGGCTTCCTCCTGACCCACGGACACTTCTTCTGAGCAAGTATGTCTCCTAACAGTCCCTTCACTTTCTCAAACGCAGTGGAAGAATCACCTCTCCCCGAGAAGGCAGAGGCCCTTTATGACCCCAGACAAGACTAGGAGTGACTCGTCCAAGTCTCAAGGCCCAACCTTCCAGAAGGCCTCATATGCTGGCACCAGGGAATGTGCAGTGCAGACCTGGGGCCATGGTACCTGGCTTGGTTATAGACCCCCTGTATAAGCTGAGCAGCTCTAAGCCTGGCTCCCCTCCCTGCCCAGATGCAGAGCTGAGGTCCCATGGCCTTCCAGCTGTGACGTCCACTGCCCACGCCTCTGACTGCACCTCTCCCATATGTGTCTCCCACTCTGAGCCCAGACGAGGGGGTCATTAGATAAAGCCCCAAGGTGTGATCCTCTGCCCTGGAACAGGTGCTCTGTGAACACCTGCCAGGTAAACAGGTTTACCTTCTATCACTGGGAAATGAGGGCTTCCACCTGCCTGAGGCTTCTCCCTTTGAAACACAAGCCCCTAAAGGTCACAGCTTCCTGACTGGGTGGCTAGTGCCGGTGACATCCTGAGCTGTCCGCAGCATTGTCCTGCAGTTCCAGGATGATCCTGGGTTAGCCCAAGCCCATCATCCCCCAAGACTGTTGGTCAGACACCTGCCAAGAGGCTTTGCATTGCTTCTTTGTAAGATTTTACGATAAAGTCACAAGTCAGAGAAACAATCTCTCCATCCCATTTCTCGGTTCAGAAAACGTATCCATCTTACAAGTGAGGGGCGTAAATAAGGGACATAGGACTCTGTCCCAGATTGCTGCCATTTCGTGTGGTTTTCACTTTGCAGCACGTGGCTTCCAGGGTGCGGCAGGAATGAGAACGACCCCAGAGGTCTCTGGGTCACCACAAGGCTCTCAGTGAGTGCACAGGTGACCACAGTCCCCTCAGGACTCTCAGGGTGTGACAGGTGACCCCAGTCCCCTCAGGGCATGCACAGATAACCCCAAACCTCTCGGAACTGTCAGGGCATGACAGGTGATCCTGTTCCCCTCAAGTCTTCCAAGGGTGCACAGAGGTGACCCTAATCCCCTCAGGGTGCTTAGGGTGCGCACAGGTGACCCTGGCCTCTCAGGGGGCGGGAGGGCCAGAGCAGCGCCCTCGTGCCTGTTGGGCTCAGGCTAAGCGTGTCTCAAAGCTGCTGGCACCTTGAAACCAAGGCGGCTTTTTTAAAAATCAGGTTTTTATTCCACAAAAATGCGTATAAAATAGTCACCGATCAAGACTTCCCTGGGTGGGCATGTAGCCTTGGGGGCACGAGCTCCAGGGGTCTGAGCCTGCCTGCCTCTCTCTGGGCATGCTGGTGGCTTCACGGTGTCCCCAATGGGCAGGAAGTGGGCCACCTCATAGGTGTGTAATGTGGCACGCTACACAGCAGGAAGGTCCTGGTGACACCATAGCAATTCTCAGGCTCAAACAGGGAAAATGGGACCCCAGGAAGGAGGGTGGAGGTTAAAAGGCCTCATGTGCCCAAGTCTGAGGGTTAGGACAGTGAGTGTGAGGAGATGGAACTGAAAGCAGGGGGAGGCAGGGTTACTGCCCCATGAAAACGCTCTGGCAATGGGGACGCCTTCAGGGACCCTGAAGAAGGACACTGCTCTGCCTCTGCTGGGTAAGGTGGCTAGGCTTAGGATTGGCTTCTTGGGCCTTAAGAAAGGAAAGGGGGGCATTAAACCACTCACTGTAAAATGCACCATAGACCCTCACACTAAATCTGAAAGGAGGACTAACAAGAGGCTGAGCAGCATGATTTGGAGTTGCTCTCTGTCATGGATTGAATTGTGTTCCCCCTAAAATGTGTGGATCAATTTGGCTGGGCCATGATTCCAAGTATTGTGTGGTTGTCCTCCATTTTGTGATTGTAATTTTATGCTGAAGAGGATTAGAATGGAACTGTAACACCTTCACTAAGGTCACATCCCTGATTCAATGTAAAGGAAGTTTCCCTGGGGTGTTGCCTGCACCACCTTTTATCTTGCAAGAGATAAAAGGAAAGGGAAGCAAGCAGAAAGTGGGGGACCTCATACCACCAAGAAAGCAGTGCCAGGAGCAGAGCGTGTCCTTTGGACCCGGGGTCCCCATGCGGAGAAGCTCCTAGTCCGGGGGGACACTGATGAGAAGGCCGACAGGGAGAGGAAACCTTCCCCTGGAGCTGACGTCCTGAATTTGGACTTGTAGCCTACTTTACTGTGAGAAAATAAATTTCTCTTTGTTAAAGCCATCCACTTGTGGTATTTCTGTTAGAGCACTACTGGATGCCTAAGACACTCTTTAAGTCAGGGAGTCCCTGGGTAGCACAAGCAGTTAAGCACTTGACTACTAGCTGGAAGGTCAGCAGTTCCAACTGGAGGCATTTTGGAAGAAGGGCCTGGTGATCTGCTTCTGAAAGGTCATAGCCTTAAAAACCCTACGGAGCACAGTTCTACCTCTACACGAGGTTGCCATGAGTTGGAAATGACTTGACGGCAGCTAATAGCAACAACAATTCTAAGTCAGGCCAGTAGAAGCAGCCTCACTCCAAACACAGAGAGGACAGAGGCAGCACTGACACGACAAACAGCTGTCTGGATCACAGAAGGCAGTGAACAGAGAATCCCAGAGAAGTAGCATTACTTCCTGGTGACTTTCAAATCAGGAAAATCTGAGGAGGAGAATGCACTTTCCAGGGCCAAGGGACAAAAGGAAATGAGATCAAGAGTAAGCGAATTAAAAGGAAACATATAAACACCTAAGCCCAAATGCGCCTAGTGTCTTTTTTTAATTTTTTTTTTTTTATTGTACTTTAGATGAAAGTTTACAGGAACAGTGCATAGTGTCTTGATTCCATAGCAGACATGCAAATGGCTGAGATGGCGTTGTCTACTTGAAAGACAGACATGAAAACAAGATAAATGCCCCCAAGACAAGGAGAACACATGATAAGGGAAGAACTAATTAAAAAAAAAAAAAAAAAAGGATACACTGACAAGCCTGCAAAGTGGCTTACAGACCCTCCAGCCAGGAGGTTTATGGGAGAAGCAGCCCCTCGTCATCATGAACTGTGGGTTCAAGAAGCCCCAGAACTGGAAGTCAGCACACCTGGACTAAACCAAAGCTAAGAAGTTTCCTGAATACAACCAAATACTTCGAGGGACAGAGTAGCAGGGGCCGGGGTCTGAGGACCATGGTTTCAGGAGACATCTAGGTCAACTGGCATAACAAAGTTTATTAAGAAAACATTCTGCATCCCATTTTGGTGAGTGGTGTCTGTGATCTCAAAAGCTAGCAAGCGGCCATCTAAGATGCATCAGTTAGTCCCAACCCACCCGGAGCAAAGGAGAATGAAGAACACCAAAGCCACAAGAAAAGTATTAGCCCAAGAGACAGAAAGGGGCACATAAACCAGACACTCCATCAGCCTGAGACCAGAAGAATTAGATGGTGCCCAGCTACCACCAATGACTACCCTGACAGGGAACGCAACAGAGTCCCTGATAGAGCAGGAGAAAAGTGGGGTGCAGAACTCAAATTCTAGTAAAAAGACCAGACTTAATGGTCTGACTGAGACTGGAGGGACCCCAGAAGACATGGCCCCTGGACTCTGTTAGCCCAGAACTGAAACCATTCCCGAAGCCAACTCTTCACATAGATTAGACTGGACTACAAGACATAAAACGATACTCGTGAAGAGTGTGCTTCTTAACTCAAGTAGATACATGACACTAAATGGGCTGCTCCTGTCTGGAGGCAAGATGACAAGGCAAAAAGGGACAGGGTCTGGTTGAATGGACATGGGAAATCCGGGGCAGAAAGGAGGAGTGTGCTGTTACATTATAGGAAAAACAACTAAGGTCACATAACAATGTATGTACAAATTTTTGTATGAGAAACTAACTTGAACTGTAAACTTTCACTTAAAGCACAATTGAAGAAAAAAGAAGCCACAGAACAGCTGGGTTCTGACAACACACCCAAGTAGCTATCCAAACAACAGTGGAGCTGGAAGGCTCTCAGATAAGCTTTCATGTGCACTGTAATGGCGCACGAATGCTGAGGCGACCCAGGAACGATCCAGTGGTGGTGGTGGTGGGGGGGGGTCCTAGGGAACCCATGGCCATGACTCAGACAAAGAGAAACAAGTCCTGGCTGAGGGAACACTCAGCAGATAATTCTTTCTCCCTTCTTGCAAAGTCAGGAGGTGGGATGAAACAGATGGGTAGGGTGTTAAACGATCCTTCTCAGTAGCCTGTGACAGGCAAATGTGGTTGAAGAGGCTCTTACAGACACTGACTTAAGCAAATAAAAGGAAAAAAAAGACTAACCTGATATAAAAATATAATTACCAAGGAGATCAGGATCTCCCAGAAAGAAAGTAAAAGACTACAAAAACAACAGGATTCTGAATACAGTATTTAGTTCAGAAAGCAATCAAACGTTTTATATATAGTACTAATAAGTTACTACCACCCATCTGCTAGTTTGTTGTCCTGTGGTGGCTTGCATGTTGCTGTGATGCTGGAAGCTGTGCCACCAGTATTTCAAATACCAGCAGGGACAACCACAGTGGACAGGTTTCAACGGAGCTTCCAAACTAAGACAGACTAGGAAGAAAGGCCTGGAGATCTACTTGTGAAAATTAGCCTATGAAAACCATATGGAGCACAACGGAACACTGCCCAATATAGTGCTAGGAGATGAGCCCCCAGGTTGGAAGGCACTCGAAATACACAGTGCCTGCAACAATGAACTTGAGCATACCAAGGCTCATGAAGATGGTACATGACCGGGCAGTGTTTTGTTCTGTTGTGCATGGGATATCCATGAGTCGGAGCCAACTCAATGGCAACTAATAACAACAAGCAATGAGTTAGAGAAAATTAGTCCAGTGAAGAAGAGCAGGGGAATGGTCAAGGAAAAAACAGTCTCAAAATCCTCAAGAGTCGTTTACCTTTAAAAAAAAAAATTTTTTTTTAGGTTATTCTGTGCCAGCTCCTTGAAAAAAAATTGGAATCTCTTTGGTCATTTGCTCTTCAGATCTACAAACCAGCAAACCACTTCTGAAGGGAGGACATATGATTTTTTGTCCAGTGGCTCTGAGAAAGGAAAGGGAAAGAGCTGATAGTGGCCTGATTTGGGGGAAATGCTCCATTGATAAAGAATAAAGCCCGTGTTGTAAGACAAAGGGGTCACTAAGTGGTTGAAGGAAGAAAACCGCCTGGAGGAGAATGTCACCTTAGCTGGAATCCAGACAAATTTCCAGTGGGGAAGAACTGGGAACGTGACATCCAAGCATAAAGTCAGCGTGAGGTGTGAAGAGGAGTGTGGCTTGTGAGGATGCACGAGATTCAGGGTTCAGCAGAACCAAGGAAGGCACCTCACAGGGATAGGGCTTAAATTATGGGTACAAAGGCCAAGCGGCACAAAGGGAGCAACTGAGGCATGATTGCTTCTTCCAGACAGGGCTGGGGCATGAAATGGATGATTGTGACCAGGGCCGGAAACGGGCCAACCAGCACAAGGAGACACAAGATAGGAGCAGTGGAATTTGTTTTAACCTAGGAAGGTGGAGCATTCCGAACCAGCACATCCATTGAAGGGGCTGGCTGTGCACCGGGCAGTCACAACCTCTAGCCCCCACTCCTGAAGGCTGTCTCATCACAGCGCTGGGAGATCCCAACATGACGGGTGCTGTCACCCATTCTGCAGCGGGTGCCCTGCAGCCACCATCCACAGTAAATGTCCTGAGAAGCTCTCTGGTGTGCCGCTCATCCATTCAAGCCTCTACTCAAGTGTCACTCCCACAAATAGTGGATCCCTCAGCACCCTCGCCAAAAATAGCTCTCATGTCAGCTCCACTCTCTCACACTGGCCTGGTATTTTCATGGTTCTTACATCACTACCTCAGGAGTCACTGGGTGGTGCAAACGGTTAAGCACCCACCTCTAGCCAAAAGGTTGGCAGTTCAAACCCATCCAGAGGTGCTTCAGGAGAAAGGCCTGGCAATCTGCTTCTGAAAGATCATAGCCTTTGAAAACTCTATGGGGCATGATTCTACTCTGAAACACATGGGGTAGCCATGAGTCAGAGTCTACTCAATGACAACTAACACAGAAACCATTCTGATGGATGGCATGCAACCTGGAGACTTTAAGCCTAGGTTTGGGCCCAGTTGGGTTAATAACTCGCCGTGCAGCTTTGGGTGAATCACTTCACTTGTCTGGGCCAGCAAATTTCCTCATTCCTGAAACAAAGAAGTTGGGTCAGGTGGTGACTAAAGTGCCCTTCCAACCATCTCCTCCCAAAGGCAACGCACTGCCAGCAGTGGGTAAGCTGGGATTCACCCCAAATCAGTAAGGTTTTATGACCTGAGAGAATTCTAGTCACAAAGCCTCTCCTTCTCTAAGCAGACCAAAGCTGGGTAAGTGGGAGAGGCAACGAGAGACACAGGTCCAAGAGGAGTGAAGTCAAAAAGCTGATGGAAGGGCTGTCCAGAGTGACAGCTGCATTCCCACGTGCTTCAAAGCATGGAGATCCTACAAGTCAAGATGAAGATGAGCGCTGCCCAAGGTAGAGGATGGACTGTGGATGGAGAAAGAGAGAAAGGCAGGTGCTGCAAGTCTCCCGTCTGTAAGGCAGTAACATGGAGGGGTCCTGGATCCCAGCCCCCTAATTCCAAATCCTCATAGGATTGCAAAGGTCCCTGGGTGGCACAAATGGTTTGCACTCGACTACTAACCTAAAGGTTGGTGATCTGAATCCACCCAGCGGTGCCAAGAAAATCCCATGGAGCAGTTCTACTCTGTAACACATGGGGTCCCCATGAGTCGGGATTGACTCGGTGCAACGTGGTTTTTTTTTTTTTTTTTGGTTTTTATTATAAGACTGCAAGCTACCAGCTCCTAGACTTCTCTCCATCTCTGACATCCAGCAACACAGACGAGGGCACAAGACCCTCTAGACACCATGAGGAGCCAGACTTCCGAGTCCAGGAGGGCACGCCCTCCTGGGTCCAGACCCCAGATTCCCAGGGGATGGATGCCTGGACTGTCACCTCGGCCCCCTGCTTGACCTTCCCCAACCTCAATTCACTTCGGGGGGTAGCGTCCAGGCTGATGCTCCCGGGCTTAACCTCCAAGTCTGGAAGCTGCAGAACCCACGGGGGTGGGTCTATCGCCGCCAACGAGGGGATGGGGGTGGGTCCGCATGGGAGCCTGACGACGTGGGAACTCTTGGGAACCCTGTCGCTCCAGATAGGAGGCAACCCTTGGAGTAGTCTGAAAATACTTCGCGACCCCTGAGGAGGATCCGGGGAATAAGGCCGTCACCAGAGACGGGAAATGATGGGGTGGGGGGGAGACCCTCAGGCCCCCTGGGAGGCTGCCAGCGTCGGGGTCCAGCAGAGGCGGGTGGGGGTCGCGCGGCTTGTACAAGGGTCGCGCCCTATGGTCCCGGAGGGGCGGCTAGAAGCCCCCCGCCCACCCGGGGCGCGGCCCATCAGCCCAGCCCCCTTGCCCCGCCCTCGCAACCCGGCCCGCGCTCACCGCCTTCTCTAGATGGCTGCGCGCCTGCTCGCTGTTCTTGGTGTGGTGATAGAGCACGGAGCCGAGCTGCAGGTGCGTGCGGGCCTCGATGCGCTGCGGCGGCTTGAAGGGGAACACGGCCTGCAGACAGTGCACGCACAGGCGGATCTTGGGCGGGCTGGAGGTGCGGAAGTGCTCGGCGAAGCCCAAGAGCGCCAAGTACCACGACTCGGCCGCCTCGGCCTGCGCCGCCTGGGCCGCCGCCTGGGCTGCCGCCGCCGCCTGAGCCGCCATTTTGGCCTCCACAACAACAAGCGGCCGCCACAGGGAGGCGGAAGCAGGCCCGAAGGGCGGGGCCGGGAGGGCTCGCAGCTCTCGCGAGAGGCTGCCACGCAGATCATTTTAAGATAATGTTTGTATTTGGGATGGACACGGCTCCGGAGAGGTGTGAGAAAAGGTGACGCCCTCTGGTTAGCGGAACTGAGACCAGACATCGCCTGTAGACGTAGGCTATGGTCCTTGAGGGAAGACCCCGGGCATCCACGCAGCGGTGGGGCGGGGCTCACCGACGTGGACTACATCTCCTATCATGCCACGCGCGACATAACAGCCCCTCCCCCAGACGGCGCCGGAGCATTGTGGGATTGAATGAGTCTCAAGATGGACAACCGGGATGTTGCAGGTAACAGCCCACATCTCCCTTAAGGCGCTTGCTTGGGTCCTCCGAGCAAAGCACTGTCACCTTGCCCTCCCGTAGGGCCTGCCCGGGCCCGCCGCCCCTTTAACCTAGCCTCTGGGCGCCCGAAGTGGTGGCTGCTGTGTCTCCCGCGTTCCCCGAGACCCTAGAGCCAGGTCGCCGGCTGCCCCCGCCTGGCTTGCCGAGGGCGCCCCGCTTTCCGTGAAGGCCGCCAACCTAGTCAGCCCTACGCCCTCTTTCCAGAATAGCGGCCTTGACGGCTGTTCCGAGCTCTGCTCTCTGAAGCAGCGGCAACCTTGGACTGTCCTGCGCCCCCGTTTTTGTAGCAGCTGTCGTTTGGCCTGCGTCCCGGTTTGTGGAAAAGCTGTTTCTCTGCACTGTCTTGGGATTCCCTTTACACACTTCTGGGTCTTCGAGTCCTACTTAGCTACGAACCTTGCTCGTCCCTTTTTCCCAGTCCTAAACCTCCAGACTGGGATGCATTCTCCCACTTTGCAAATAGTCGAGGTGTGCTCGCCGTATGCCCAGCGCCTTGGTGTGCGCTGGGGGTATAGCAGTCACCAAACCAGGACTATGCCTTTGTGCAGGTTTCTTGTTACTGGAGTGTCAGACAATGTACAAATAAGCAAATGTTTACAATGGGAGAGTTGTGATGATGTTGACAGGGTGGGCGTGGAGTCTGATACTGGGTGGCAGGGAAAGCCTTTCGTAGCTGGAGATGTTCGAGATAAGAAGGTCCCAGGTTTGGGAAGATCTGAAGCCAAGCTGCAGGGTCGGTGAGATGGCAGGTGCAAAGGCCCTGGAGTGGGACCGGCTTATCCGTTTGAAGAACCTTTGAATTGAAAGTGAAGGGGATCCACCTCAGGCAAGGTCTTGAGAACCTCCTTTCAGAATTTGTATTTTTCTGTGAGTCTCATTGGAAACCTTCAGGATGTCTTCTCCATCTTCAAGGTTACCATGCTAGTTTGAAGACACTGTTGTCTCACTTGGAGGTCTACAAATAGCCTCCTCATTGATTTCCTTGCTGCCTATACAGTCTCTGCAATCAGCATCCAGAACAATCTTAAAAATTAAAATTCTGATTGAATCTCATTCAGTGGTAGAAATCTCACCTCCCACGTGGGAGACCCAAGTTCGATTCCAAACCAAAGCATCTCATGAGCAGCAACCACCCATCTGTCATTGGAGGCTTGTGTGCTGCTATGATGCTGAACAGGTTTCAGTGAAGCTTCCAGACTAAGACAGGCTAGGAAGAAGGGCCTGACTTCCGGAAATCAGCCAGTGAAAACCGTATGGATCACAACAGTTCAATCCGCAACTGATCACGGGGATGGAGCAGGACCAGATAGCGTTTCATTCTGTTGTGCATGTGGTCACCATGAATTGGGGTTCATCTCAGCAGCAGCTAATAACTCCTCAGTTTAATACCCCATGTCACTTCCCATATCTCTCAGAGTAAAACCCAAGCTCCTTCTCATGGCTCATCTCTCCTCCTCATTCCTCTCCACCCCAGTGTCCATTCTGGCCACATTGTACCCCTTGCTCATCATTGGATGCACTAGGTTTCTTCCTCTGGCCGGATTGTGCCCTATTTGGATTTGCACAAGGCTTGCTTCTCATCATCCGGTCTCAGTGTAAACGCCCCTCCTCTAGCAGCCATTTTCTGGTACCCTAACTATCTAGGAGCTCCTCTGTTGCTTTTTCCCACCCTCTTTTGGTGCAAGCAGTTTGTATTTGACTGCCAATGTAAAGGTTGCAGTTCGAACCCACCTAGCAGCACCATGGAAGAAAGACCTAGAGATCTGCTTCCGTAACGATTGCTCTTAGCTGCTCTCGAGTCAACTCTGACTCATGGCGACCCCACGTGTGCACAGTAAAACTGCTCCGTAGAGTTTTCAAGGCTTTGACCTTTCAGAAGCAGATCACCCAGCCTGTTTTCTGAGGAACCTCTGGATGAGTTCAAACCTCCAACCTTTTGGCTAGTAGTCAAGCGCCTAAAGATCACAGCCAAGAAAACCCTATGGAGCAGTTCTCCTCTGATACACGTGGGGTCACCATGAGTCAGAATCAACTTGACGGCAGTGGGTTTGGTATTTTGGTTTTTTGGCTTCCAACAGAGATCTGATCACAATTTGCAGTTACTTTTCTTGTTACGGGTTTATTGTCTCTCCAGCCAGAGGTGAGTCCCAACAGGCAGAGGCCATGGCTCTCTCATTCATCACCTAGTGGATGCTCAGTCGGAGTCCCTGGGTGGTGCAAGTGGTTAACACTCGGCTGCTAACTGAAAGGTTGGCGGTTCAAGTCCACCTAAAGGCGCATCAGAAGAAAAACCTAACAGTCTACTGAAAAATCAGCTATTAAAAACCCTAGAAAGCGTAGTTTTACCCTGACACCTGGGGTTGCTATGAGTTGGGCTCGACTCAGTGGCAACTGGGAGCTCGGTCAGTGTTTGCCGAATGAACATGGGAACAAACGTGTGAATTAGCCAGAAGGCTGTTGTTGATGGCCTGTAGCAGGCACCAGGGGACATGTGAAGTAAAGTTGACTTCTGACGTGCTTCGTTCCCCCCCCAACCCCAGGAAAGGCTAACCGGTGGTTTGGAGTGGCCCCCCCCAAGTCTGGAAAAATGAACATGAACATCCTTCATCAGGAAGAGCTCATCGCTCAGAAGAAACGGGAAATAGAAGCCAAGATGGAACAGAGAGCTAAGCAGAACCAGGTGGCCAGCTTGCACCCGGGAGAGTAAGTGCCCCTTGGGACCAAGACCAAGGTGTGGATGGTTGCCAGCAGAGGGCTTTGCTTTCAAGAACAGTCCATGGGCACATGCACCAGCCATGGGCCAGTGACCAAGGAGTGAAATGGGTACCGCTTTCTGGAAGCTCAGGGTGGCAGAAGAGGAACACGGGGGTGGGAGCCCAGAGGCCAGCTCTCTCCCTCGGTGGTTACTCACTGAGGACCAGCCATGTGCCGGGGCTGGGGGCATAGCCCAGAGCAAAATGCAGACCCTGCCCTGCCCTTACGGGACTTACAGCCTGCTAGTAAAGTAGGATGTGAGGCCCTACCTCAGCACTGCTGAGGGATAAAGTGAGGTACGGTGACACTGTAGGGGCAGAGATGATGCTTTGCGTTCTGAAGCCCTGGCCGAGCTGGTGGGGAGGGCCGGAGAGGGAGAGAGCCCCTGCCCCCTGTGCATCAGGCAGACCAAGGTGGGAGACAGCTCACACAGTCTCCACTGCATGTCCTGAGAGACACTGTGTGCTGGAGAGTGGGAATGGCAGTGTGGTCAGGCTGACAAGATAACAAGGATTCCAGGCAAGAGATGGATCATCAGTGAGGCCACCCCTTCCTCTGGGGTCCAATGGGTAGGGTGTGAATGCTCCACAAAGCTCCATCCCACTCCTATCTTCCCTGTTGGTACCCACGCCAGCACAGCCTGGCATCCAAGGACTCAGGAATGCTAGGTCGAGTGACCAGTGCAGGTGGGCTCGTTGACTCTCGCCCCTGGGATTGTGGAAGGACTTGCTCCAGGAAGGGCAACCCCAGTAGGGTTCCCTCCAGGAGAGGTTCCCAGGGGTCTCAGCCAAGCCATTAGATCATAGCACCAGGATTGGGGACTGGAAGGGATGTCAGGTAGGCAGGTGCCTGGTCCAGTTGGTTTGGAAATAACAACAAAAAAAGCAAGGAACACCAAATTTTAGAATTTAGAGCTAAAGAAAAAAACATTTAAGTCACGCAAAACAACCATTTTGATGTATTTCTATACGTTATTTTTAGTTTGTTTCATGAAGATATGATCTATTTCATGTCTTGCTTTTTTTGCTACGTATTTTAAAAAAAACATTTTTCTTAGTTAAAATTTTGTAGAACTCTCGTATTTTTATTTATTTGTTAGTTTATCATGGGATATAATTCACATACCATAAAATTCATTCTTTTGAGAGTACAGTCCAGTGGCATTTAGTTCATTCACAGGGTTGTCCAGCCACCACCTCTGTCTAGTTATGGAACGTTCTCATCCCCCTGAATGGAAACCCTGTACCCATCAGCAGTCACTCCCCCATGCTCCCCCAGCCCCTGGCAACCATGAGTCTAGTTTTTGTCTCTTGATTTGCCTGTTCTGAACGTTTTGTATAAATGAGATCATAACGATATTTATCCTTTTGTGTCTGACTTTTCTCACTTACCATAACTTTTTGAGGTTCATTCACGTTGAAGCATGTATCTGCGCTTCATTTTTGTTGTTGTTGGATGCTGTGAAGTCGATTCCTACTCAAAGCAACCCCATGTGACAGAGGAAATATTCTATAGGGTTTCCTAGGCTATAATCTTTACGGAAGCAGATAGCCAGATCTTTTCTCCCATGGAGCCGCTAGGTGGGTTCAAACTCTCAGCCTGTCAGTTAGCAGCCGAGTGCTTACTGATTGTGCCACCAGGGCTCCTTTCATTCCTTTTTAGGGCTGAGTAATATTCTATTGTGTGGATGCACCACGTTGTGTTTTGTCTGTTCATCAAGAACCAGCCTTTTGTTAGCTGCACCTTATCCCTCTCTGTTTGTTATGATTTTCAGTGGTATCCGTCTGCTGCCTTGATGTACAGCAACCCCCCAACCCCATCCCTTCTGGGAGCAATGGTAACAGCGTGAGGGGGAATGGGAGCACCAAGGGACACTGGGGGCCTGCTTGTCTAATACCAAGGGCAGTTTATTAGCCAGAACCTCCTCTTTCTTTCATTTAAAATAACCTTAAAGATAACCATACACTTAGTAGAAAATCTAGAAAATAGAGAAGAGAGAAAAGCGGGGAGAAAAGATCATAATCCACAACCCCAGTACAACCACTGGCTGTGTTTTGATATGTTTTTCTAACAGTTCTCAACTAAAGTCTTATCTTGACTTAGACAGGACCACACTGTAGATGTGGTTTTATATCCTTCTTCTTTGTTTTCCATTTAATGTTGTGTTTTGCCACTTTTGCTTTAGGATCTTGACTTCTCAGGGCGGCCCTATCTGCCCTCTGGAGGTCCTGTGATTGGCTTAACCAGCACCTTGTGTTGTTGTTTAGGGTGTTCTGCATTTTTAGTTCATTACAGCAGATTCCTAGAAGAATAAAAGTTAATTTTAAGGAGAAATGCTAGACCCGTGAGCTCCCTGTGCTTTTACCACATACCTGGGCGTGTCCGTATGGCAAAACATTATGGGGCCCTGAAGAATATGAACGAGGATCTCTGAGATTGGCTGGCTGGTGTGTTAGGAACAAAAGCAGCAAGGTGTGGGATTGTAGGTGTGGACTGTGGTGACAGCCTCATTTCCTCTGGCTTCTAACTTAGGGTGCAAAGTAAGTATCACGAAATGGGAATAGTGGCCATTTTGAGGTGGGGGACTGTGAGGTTTTCCCACTTGGCTTCCTACATTCCTGTTTTCTACGTTTCTATTTGTTCCATGATAAGCCTCTGTTTTATGATTGAATGAATAAATTCTTTTAGAAGGATCAGCACAAAGCTGGTTCCTACGAGGCAGAGGTTAAAAATGTCCCAAATGTCCAGCTTTTCCAAACTGCTGTACCACTCCCTCATCTCTAACATCAGCTACTCCTCCTCCCCTCAGTACTCTCCATCTGTCTTTGGGTTCCATAATTTGCTGCAGTGTCTCAAGGTCACGAACCGTCAAGGCAATGGCTCATGCGGTTGTGGAGGCTGGCAAGTCCCAAATCTGTAGGTCGGACGTCAGGCTGGAGGCTTCTCCTGACTCGTGGTTGCATGGGCTGACGAACCCAAATCGGCAGGTCAGATGGCAGGCTGCTGGTTCACAAGGCTGCGGAAGCTGGTGAATCAGGTCGGATGATAGGCTACTGGCTCAAGTTCCAAGAGCCAGAGGTCAGACGATGATGAGCCGGATCTAGGATCCAGAGCAAGAAAAAGAGTTTTACTGGAGTATTTGTAGATAATATACATATATTTACGTGTACATACGCACGTATACGTGTATACGTGTATACGTGTACGTATATATGTATGTTTGTACATATATATACCTATAACTACCGGATGCAAACCATAGTCTCAAATAAACTCTTCTTACTTGAGCAAGGCAGCGTAAGGGTGTTACTTGAATAAAGGTGGTAAGGATGGTAACTGGGGTAAGGGTTGTAACTTGAGCCATACCCTGTAGTAAGGTGGTGATTCAAAATACATCCTATCTTTATCTTCCCTCATTGTCATAACAGACAACTCACTCCTGAATGAGACCATAACCACAGGCTTAGAGGCTAAGATTTATTTTGGATCACAAAATAGAGGACGACTACATTATTACATAACTGCCAAATTATGTCATTACATAACTACCAAACCACTGAAAATCATAGTCCAGTCAAGTTGATACATAACCTTAACCATCACAGGTTCCATACTTTATTTGCATTAGCAGCAAGCTGTCCAGTCCTCTTAGTAGGCCACAAGCACCCTATTTGCATAGTCGCACCCAATCATCGCGTGGGAGTCACAAACATTATGGTTAGACGGGCCATAATAAGTAATTCACTGCACCACAATGATAGAGGAAAAATAAGTTTGAACTCAAAGTATTTCGGCCCCTGAGTTTGCCTTTAAAAAAAATAAAATAACAAGAGCGAGAGTAGAAAAAATAAAGAGAGCGCCCTTGTCACTCTCCAGCCAGGAGATTGCTGGCGTTTGCCAGCACACCTGTGGCATGCCTAGAGGTGCTGGTATGCACTGGAGTCACACGCGTGTAAGAACAGACACGGGCCCTCCCTGGAGAACTTGGAGGTCTGGCCAGGAAGGTAGATGTTTGAGCCGGTCAGGGCACAGAGATGCAGTTAAAGGCAGGCACAGCAGGTGGCTCGCACACATTGTGGGAGCCAGTCTTGGGGAGGCTGGGCGTCTGGACCTGAGAGGGCTGGGTGCAGGCAGAGATGGTGTAAGTACACGAAGTATTGTTTTCCCTGAACAGGAGTATCCCCAACCTCCTCCTTGGAAGCCTGCTCCTGCTCTTCACAGCAGCCCCCCGACACCTGTGGGGGCCAGTTTTGGTGAGTATGGGGCCACAATGGCCCTTGACCTACCTCTCCTGCCCCTGCTCACCCTTGTCCTCTCTTACTCTCGGGTCTAGAATTGCAAATGTGCACGACTCTTCCTCCATTTCCAACAAGTTTGCCAACGACGGCAGCTTCCTGCAGCAGTTTCTGAAGTTGCAGAAGGCGCAGACCAGCACAGGTGAGTGGGACTGCACCTGTGCTCCCAGGGACCCCCTGCCCAACCTGCACTTCCTCAGAGGCAGACCCCGAGGTCCCCACCACATGTCTTTCTCCTATTTCAGATAGGAAACTGAGGCTTAGAAATACTAGGCCCAAGGACCCAGCATGAATCCAGAGCCAGGCTGGCTGCGGCCAGTCGGGATCTGCACCAACTGCCCCTCTGAGTGCGGCCTGTGTGTACTCCTGCGCATGGGTGTCTCGGGGACCTTGGCTTGGTTGAGCATAGCTGGTCCCAAATTGGTTTGCACGCCCCAGCCAGTGTGCCGGGGTCTTCTCCCCATCCAGGTCTGTCCAGGGACATAGACAGGACCTCGTGCACAGGTGTGTGGGTCACTGGCCCACAGAAACGCTGAGGGGTGTGCTGGAGCAGGACCAGGACCCGGGACTGCCTATGTCTGCCCGTGTCTGCGCCACACAGTTGACCAGTCGGTGGTCACTTCCTGTGAGCCACTAATATACAGCCACCGTCAAGTTTCTAGGATATCTAAGAGACCGTTCACTGAGGAGGGGGCTGCCCGAGTTTCCCTGTGGTGTCCAGGCACATGCCATGCGTGAAAGTGCGAGTAGCTTAGCATCACACTGGCAGTTGGAGGATGTGGTTTGTTCCTGGAGTGCAAGTGTGGGTCTGTGTGTCCCAAGAGAGCTCTGTTCACAGAGCTCAGGCCCTGGCGGGTGATCATGACAAGTCCTGCTTGCTGAGCCTCCTATCTTTATCTGTAAAATAGCTGGTGTCCTTGTAGGCACCTCCAGATGATCTGTGGGGCGTGGGCAGCTCCCCAGAGTGCATGGCCTCTGGTCTGACAGGACTTTCCTTCCTCTCCAAGATGCACCCCCTACTTCCGCCAGTGCCCCCCTGAGCACACCTATCTCCAGTACTGTGAGGAGGCCCCTCCTGATCAGCAAGCGGGTAGGCCTGGGACTGGGAGGCCCACCGGGCCCGGGGAAGACATACTCACACGCCAAGCAGCTCCCTGTGGCCACCCGGCCGAGTGTTTTCCAGTCACCAGATGACGACGATGAGGAGGACTATGAGCAATGGCTGGAGATCAAAGGTAGGTGTAGGGCAGGGGTCTGTGGTAGGGGAAGTGGCCCAAGGCCATACTCTCATCAGGGAGGGCCTGGGGTGGGCTGGGGTGAGGGGTGGTGGGAGCGTGTGTGGGGCATGGGGTCCCCTCATCTGGCCCATCCTGTGGGCAGTGCTGGCGGAGACCCTAGCTGGGCATGTGCCATCACTCCCTCTGAGGCCCAGGAGCACCATGCCCTGCTGTGGGTCACATGTCCCACAGGGCAGTGGTGTGAGCAAACAGGTGGCGGTGTCTCCTTCCCTGCGCAGGGAGGAAGGTGGTTGCTGTCCGTGGCGTAGGAGGGAGCAGGCAGTGGCATACCTCCCTGCATGTGGCCTGGCCTACTTTCAGGTGGGGCCCCAGATCACTGAGTGCTGGGAGACCAGACCTGGCCAAGGCTGGCGGCTGCACGTCCCTACCACGCTGACAGCCTCACACCTGCTCTTGGTGGGCAGTGCCAGGGTCTGAGCAGGCCAGAGACCAGCCTCGCCTGCCCGGCCTCCCGAGACCGACAGAGGCGAGCGAGGGCAGGGGTGGCCCCCCTGGGTCCTGTGGAGCCTCCTGAGTGAGAAAGGAGGGTGAAAGGGAACCAATTCATGATACTGAAAACTAGTTAGTAAAAGGAAGAATCATTCCAAAAAAGAAAATGAGACTGGACATGTTTTCCAAGGTCTCCTCCCAGTCTGGGGCGGACATGGCTTCATGAGGCGTGTGGCTGCGTGTAGCACACAGCCCCTGTGAGGCACATGGCCCTGGTGTGCCCTCTCTGCCTGTGTGCTCACAGCTGTGCAGATGACCCTGTGTTCCTGGTGCTGTGTGCACAGACTGGGCACTCATGCCCTGCATCTCACCTCTTCTCCCCACCCTCTGTCGTTGTGGTCCCCAGAGAGAGTGTGCCTGTTGACTGTGGGGTGTGTGAGTTAAGCCCCCGTACTGACAGCCTCCTTAAAGTTTCACCCCCAGAGGGAGTCGAGACTCGGAAAGTGATAGAGAAACTGGCCCGCTTTGTGGCAGAAGGTGGCCCTGAGCTAGAGAAGGTGGCCATGGAGGACTACAAGGACAACCCCGCCTTCTCGTGAGTGTCTCTGGGGCGAGGGACTCGTGCTGTCTCATTGCTTAGCTGCAGCGTCATCGTGGAGGTTATCGGGGTGAGGGTGTGCCAGATTGCAGGCACAGCTGTGTGGCGCAGAGACGTAACCCTGGGTTGTGTCAGGGTCCCGCCAGCTTGCTTTGTGCACTGTGTCTTCAGGAGCTATGTGGCCTCCTCACTACAGGCACTCAGACCCTCTCTACTTTGTCAAACCCTCTCCAGGTTTTTGCATGATAAGAACAGCAGGGAGTTCCTCTACTATAGAAAGAAGGTGGCCGAGATGAGGAAGGAGACACAGAAGATGCAGGCGGCCCCACAGAAAGGTAAGTGGGGTGGTGGGAGCCTGGGAGGTGAGGGGAGGGGGCCTGGGAAGCATGCGGGAAACTGCGCTGGGGAGTCAAGGTCCCTTGGGTGGTCACGTTGGGTCCTTGTCTTGAGCTGGGCCAGCACCACTCTCCCCTTCAGAACTGTGGGGTCAGGTGATATTGGGGTCCACCTTCCCCACGTGGCCCTGTGCCAAGCACACTGGTGCTCAGAGAAGGGCACTGTGGAGGGTTGGGCTCATGTCCATTGGTTGTTTAATGAGTACCAACAAGTGTCTGCCATGGGCTGAGAACTTCGGCCGCAAGACACTCGTGGCGCCAGGGGATGAGACAGGCAAGAACATTCAGCTAGTGGGGTTTGGGGTAAGCTCCAGGGAAGTGTGGGGGTTCCTGGGTCTTCAGCTGCTAGTGAAGTGGAGTCCTGGTGGTCAGCGGGAGCTGGAAGCAGGCTGAGTTCCTTCACTGGCACATGGCCCTTTGCCCTGACCCTCTCCCTAGAAGAGGGGGGCCAGCCTGTCCCCACCCCATGGCCTCCTCCCTATCCAGGGTGGGGTGGGGGTGCTGAGATGCTGACTCCGTGTTGGTCCTGGGGTGGGGAGGTTGGGGGACATGCCATGACACTGCCCTGTGTAGGTCCTGAGGCTGGGTAGGGTGCAGGGAAGTGCCTATGATGCTGAATGAGTGTTAGTCCTGGAGTAGGGGGTGGGGCAAAGGGCTGTGGCACTGACCCGGTGGGTGTTGGTCTCCTGCAGTAATCTGACTCCCGTTTGCTGTTTTTCTTTGCATTGCTCCTAAGACAAGCCCCTCGAGTTGCCGAGGGGTTCTTAGCGGAAGTTAGGCTGTTGGGTGTGGTGCGTTGCGCTCAGTACTGACAGCCTGCTTAAAGTTTCACCCCCAGAGGATGAAGAGGCCAAGAACCTTGCAGAAAAGTTGGCCAGGTTCATAGCGGATGGGGGTCCGGAGGTGGAGACCATCGCCCTCCAGAACAACCGCGAGAACCAGGCTTTCAGGTGAGGGGCGGCATGCAGGCAGGGGCGAGGCTGGGTGTGGGGGTGCCTCAGGGTGCAGGAGGCCAGGCTGCGGGCCTGGGCAGGGCCAGGCCCCTGGGCCTCAGAAGCATCAGCTCATGAGCCTGTGGAGCAGCTGCAGCAGGTGAGGATGTAGTCATAGTGCTCTCAGGGTCCCAATCAGCAGCTGTGCAGGTTGGTCAGAGATAGGCAGGCGGTGGGAGTAGGCAGGGGAACCAACAGGAGGGGTGCTGGTGGAAGTAGTAGGAGCTGAGGAGAGGGAGGGTCAAATATGGCAACTCTGCAGGCAAGGTGGGAGGGGTTGCCTGAGGGTCAGGTATGCCATGTGTCTGGTGCCTGGGGTCACAAAGCCTTGAGTGTTTGGATCTGGAGTCAGGAGAGGGATCTTCTGTGTACTGGAGAACCCCCAGGATGCTCCAACTCAGGGAGAGTCTTCCTGATGACCCCATGGTATAAGCCACCTCTCTGAGCTCCCTGACTACCATCTGCTTACCAGTTCACTTTAAATCATTCCACCTTTTTACTATTTACTTGTAAGTTAAGTTTATGCAACTAGGAGACTTTGTTGCCGTGGACACTGGCTGCAGAATCCATCCAGTGAAAGTGGTTAAGTTCTTGGGATTCTGCTAAGGTTCCAAACTTAGCCCACTCTCCTGGTCAGAGATACCAGGACCCGCAGTGCCCTCCTGGGTCAGGACAAGGTTATGCGGTCAGGACGATTGTGCCGTTGGGACGAGGTGGTGCTGTCAGGAGGGGCCTTGTGGTCAGAATGAGGTTGTGCGGTCAGGACGGGGATGTGTGGTCAGGACAAGGCCCGTCCTCCTCGAGCTGGTCCCTGACACTGGCCATTGGGGAGCCTGTCCAGTGTCTTCAGATCCAGCCTCCCCATCTCTCTTTGAACAAATGCCTTGCTTTTGTCTCTTGATGTGAACGCTGTCCTTCCTTGGACTTTGTGATGCTTGTATCATGATCCAGAGGAGCACAGGGAAGTGCCCCATGTCCCCAGCTCAGCGGGGCATGGGCCCCACTCTCTTCTGGCACTTTTTTGTGGCATTTCAACCAAGGGACAAACACTCTTGCTTTGAGGCACCTGCTGAGCCACCCATCCTGGTATGAATGCAAACCTTCCCTCTTTTAGGACCCTGTAAGTGTCCCTAGTACTGCATTGGCGAGACAAGAAAAAAAACTGTTGTCACCGAGTCAACCCCGACATATGGTGACCCCGCGTGTATCAGTAGGGCTATGGTCTATAGGATTTTCAATGGCTGATTTTTTCAGAAGTAGATTTCTAAGCTTTTCTTCCATTGAGCCTCTGGGTGGACTCAAACTGCCAACCTTTTGGTTAGCAGCCAAGTGTTAACCATTTGCACCACCCAGGAACTCCAACTGCCGGCTTGGGGACATGCGTTGTTGGAGTGGAGCAGGGAGCCACGGCTGGCCTGGCTCTGCGATAGGCAGAAAGAGGGCCATGGGGACCCCAGCCCATGAGCATCCTGCCTTCCTTGGTGCCCTCACAAGTGCATCAAGGGGTATGCTAATGTGCCAGGCTATTGGGTCTTTGATTCCTGGGAGGCTCAGGGCAAACCCTCTGCTTCTGCTGTCTGACATTTCTTATCTCTGGATGATTCAGGGCTCCTCACATCATAGAGCCTGGGGAGGCTTCTGCCCAGATGGGGATCTGGGGCTCATGCCAGTTTCTCCGGACATGGCATGATGATCAGGGTAGGGGTGCCTGATAAAGATGGGAGACAGGAGAGTCCTGGTCTGCCCTAAAAAGTCTTTGAGTGTGTTACCATGTTCCTCGGGCAGAACCAGCAGCCACTGAGGCCTGGTAGGCCAGGAAGTCGTGACATGCAGTGACCCCTGACATGGCCTGGTGTCCAGGTAGGGGTTTGAGGCCAGCTCACAGCCCCCACTCTCCTTTGTAGCTTTCTGTATGAACCCAACAGCAAAGGGTACAAGTACTACCGCCAGAAGCTAGAGGAGTTCCGGAAAGCCAAGGCTGGCCCCACGGGCACCCCCACAGCCCCTGACCCTGGCCTGAAGCGCCAGTGCCCCCCTGAGGCCCTGTCAGAGTCCGTGCCCCCCACTGCTGCCTGCCCCGCCTCATCTGCTGCCGTCGTGCTCTCCGCCACCCCCACACCCACCACTGCCATGGCCGCTGCACCCGGGAAGCCGGCTGCCACGACCACTGCAAAGAGGAAGCGGAAGAGCCGGTGGGGACCCGAAGAGGACAAAGTGGAGCTCCCGCCTGCCGAGCTGGTGCAGAAGGACGTGGATGCCGCCCCCTCCCCGCTGTCAGGTGGGCAGTCTTTCTTCTTCCTGCCCCCACATAGAAAGGAGGGCAGGTCAGATTGTGGGCACCCCCCAGCTGTAAGGTGCTTGGTACCAAGGGGTCCTGGAAGTTGTCCTCACCAGAGCTTTGGACAACAGCTCCCCGCAGGGTGGAGGAGCCTGGGTTGGTGTTCAAGTGCCCTGGCTCCGATGGCTAGCTGACACTGCTCAGCCTATGTCCTGAGGTCTGCCCAGCACTGGCAGGTGCAGACACTCCCAGGTCCTGGTAAGCGTTCCTTCTCACTGGGCTCACTTATTCCCAGGTTTACGTCAGTGGCTGGCGTTGTCCAGGCTTGGGTGGCCCTCACCTGGTGTGGAGTCACGGTGCCCAGGAGCAGTGTGGCTTTCTCACGGGCAGAGGTGGCACAGCTCTCCTCGTGCCCCCAGGGGGCCTCTGTGCCTCCTGCCCATCTTCCCTGCAGGAAGCCACCTCTGCAGGGGCAGTGGTTTCCACCTCCCAGATGGGGCTGTGGCATCCACTACAAGTGCTGCCGGCTCCCACCAAGTTCCTAAACGGGTGCCAAGTTAAATGTCAGTTGCTCTGTGAACAGCTGGTTTGCTCCCCCAAAGGAGCTCTTAGAGTTACAAGGCTGAGCCGTGCACTACCCGTGTCTGCACTGCATGTTTGCTAGTAGGGCTGGTTTCTGGGAGCCACACTACAGATGGATACACACAACATATATGAATGTTCACACTCTTGTATTTGCACATACTCATGCACGCACGCACTCATACGTGCATGCGCGCTCACCACATGTACTCGTGTATACACGTATGTATGTGTGTGCTTCACGCATACTTGTGCATGCACATGTGTACACATACAGGCATGTGTGCAGTTGTACATGTATTCACACACATTGACATACACACATGAAGTCAGATTCACGCATATGCTCACCATGTGCAAGCACATACACACATGCACTAATGTGTACACGTGTGCCCTCGCACGTGTGCTCACGTGTTCACATGTGCATCTCAGCTTCATGTCTCACTGTGCAGAGCCCCTGCCATGTCACCCGTGGCTGCGTGACCAGAAGTGAGGCCCCAAACCTGTGTCTTCGTGTCCCCATCTGCAGCATCAGGGAGTGTACAATCTGCGATGAGAGGTTATCGTGGGAACTAAACGTGGATATAGGAGAAAGTGCACAGACAGCTCTTGCAGTCGTCACGTCACCAATGACTGTGGTGATGGTCACAGCAAACTTGAGGGCCCTGCTGTGCACCGGGCCCTGCACAGGTGCTTTAGGTTCAGCTGCCACGTTGGAGCCACACCGCACTCTTGGACTCTGCACCTCAGGACCCAGGGTGGGCCTGTGCATCGCTGACTGTCCTGTGTCCTCTGTCTCTAGTTCAGGACCTCAAGGGGCTTGGCTACGAGAAGGGGAAGCCTGTGGGCCTGGTGGGCGTCACAGAGCTGTCAGATGCACAGAAGAAGCAGCTGAAGGAGCAGCAGGAGGTAAAGCGAGCAGCGGGGCAGGGCGTGGATCGTGGCAGGGGTGGGGAGGGTGTGGGGGACAGGGCAAGGGGCAGGGTGGGCGCAGGGTTCAGGGTAGGGGACGGGGCAGTTGGTGTCAGGGCAGGGATTGGGGCAGGAGCAGAGGTCTGGGTGGGTGCGGGGGTCAGCACTAAGAGGGTAGGGGACTGGGTGGGCATGGCCAACTCTGAGGCTCAATTTGGGAGGGTTACCCGGGGCAGCCAGCACCAGAACCACTCCTTGTTGCAGCAGTCACAGTTGCATCCCCTGTTCACGGGGCCCCTGTGCCATGTGGCCATGTGGCCATGTGGAGTCACAGTCAGCAGGGAGGTTCCTTAGCCAGTGGGTCCTTCCACCCCTGGCCAGTCCTCCCCAGGCCCTTCCCACCACATTTGTGGGCCAGAAATGACTGGAATCATCTCCACAATTTTCCTCCATGTCTGGTACAGGACAGAGTCCTGGTTAGCGCAGGGCAGGTGGTGGTTTGTGGTGTTGGGGTGTGAGCCCAGCTTGATCAAGGACCCCGCAGCCAGGGCAACATCTCTGCTGGCCTTCTGGGAGGCTGCGGGGCCTGTGAGCTGTCACCTCTGACTCGCCCAGAGGTCGAGGCCAGGCTATGGGTGAGGCAGATGCTGGGACCCAGAGACCCAGACTGTGCCAGCTGCTCGGGGGCTCAGCTCTCTGGCCAAGAGAAGGCAGCATGCGGGCCCACTCACTCTGCTCACTGCCCCCCTAGATGCAGCAGATGTATGACATGATCATGCAGCACAAGCGCGCCATGCAGGACATGCAGCTGCTGTGGGAGAAGGCGTTGCAGCAGCACCAGCATGGCTACGACAGCGACGAGGAGGTAGACAGCGAGCTGGGCACCTGGGAGCACCAGCTGCGGCGCATGGAGATGGACAAGACTCGGGGTAGGTAGTGGGGGAGTAGGGCAGCAGGGCTGGGTAGGGAGGAGATGGACAAGACACAAGTTGGGCACGGGGCGGGGGTGGGCAGAGGATGGACAATATGCAAGGTGGGTGGGGCAGGATGTGGATGGCGCTCCACAGTGTAGCCAGGCCCCTGCTCCTCTGCCAGGCCTGCTGGGCACCTCGTGTGGGTCCATATGCCACGCCCACCCTGGCTGGAGGCTTCTGCCTCCGGGTCCTCTGTGGTTACATCTCAGCGAGCAGAGACCTCTGCTGGCGTTTCCTGGCCGTGGACAACCTGCAGCAGGGCTGTGGGCACCTGGGCCTTCCCTTTTCCTCCCTCCCTTACTCCTCCTCCCCTTGGCAGAGTGGGCCGAGCAGCTAACCAAGATGGGTCGGGGAAAGCACTTCATTGGAGACTTTCTGCCTCCGGACGAACTGGAGAAGTTCATGGAGACCTTCAAGGCCCTGAAGGTAAGGGATGCCATGAGCCCATGGCAGCTCCTGTCTGTGACTGGAACATTCTGGGGCTGCAGGCATCTGCTTCAGTTGTACCAACTAAGTGCACACACAGGCAAAGTGCTTCCTCAGCAGAGGCCCATGGACTGGTCGCTGCAGACAGGGCTAGTGCCCTCCCTGCTCAGGGTTGTCGGGCTGGCGAAGCAGAGCCATGCAGGGTCTTTGTAGAGCAACTCGGCTGTCTCTAGCTCACGGTGGGCGAGCCCGTGGGGCTTGTTGCTATCCTGTCTTGACCACTGGAAGCTTGGTGCACAGGCACCCCACCAGCTGGGCCCTAGGAGAACAACCTTAGGTGGGTGGACAGGTGGGCACTGTCCCCCACGAGTAAGGCCAGAGGTGGGGAGGTGGCTGGAGCAGGGCTCAGAGGCCTAGTGACTGATGGCACCCATGCCCCTCAGGAGGGCCGCGAGCCCGACTACTCAGAGTACAAGGAGTTCAAGCTGACGGTGGAGAACATTGGGTACCAGATGCTGATGAAGATGGGCTGGAAGGAGGGCGAAGGCCTAGGTTCCGAGGGCCAGGGCATCAAGAACCCCGTGAGCAAGTGAGTGCGCTGAGTGAGGGGCTCGGGGGACCTGCTGTGTGTGGGCGCTGGCCTAGCACTAGGGACCTGCTGTCTCCATGCCCCCATTCCCCTCATCCCCGCCCTGTTACCTGATAGCTTTTCTCCTTGGGTGAAGTGATGGCAGCGCCCCACTACACACACCCTGCCAAAAATGAGGCACAGTGCTGGAGGGTCATCCAGATTCAGCCCCCCACCCTGGGGCACATTCTGTCCTTTCTCTCTTGTGTCCACCCAGACCAAGTGGGCACGTTTATACAGACTGGTTGGTCCCCTAAGGGGACGTTCTGGCCCTGCTGGCCCGGCTGAGGCATTATTCCCCACCAGGGAGAAGGGGGGCAAGCAGGGGTGTTCTTGGGGTGAGGAGGGGCAGGCGGGAAACACCCCCTTCTGTCCTTAAGTAGCTGGCTGCTGTTCCAGCCACCTCAGCTGCTGTTTCTGGAATACCTCGGCTGTCCCTAGCTCACAGCCCTGGGTGCGTCTACGCATACGGCCCCACCCAGCTCAACACAGTGCCCACATCGAGGTCTGGTTGGGGTGTGTGCTGGCCCCACTACCCCTCCAGGCCCAACACTCATACCTGCCCCCTCTCCTCCTGCAGGGGGACCACCGCCGTGGATGGCGCTGGCTTTGGCATCGACCGGCCGGCTGAGCTTTCTAAAGAGGATGATGAGTACGAGGCCTTCCGCAAGAGGATGATGCTGGCCTACCGGTTCCGGCCCAACCCCCTGGTGTGTGCCCTTGCCGGGCCCCCCACCACTCTTGGCGGGGTTTCTCACAGCTCTGGACTCCGTGGGGGTGGGGCCCTGGTGGTTATACCAGAAGTTCCTTGCCTTCTCCAGCCCACTGAGGCCAGGTCCCCAGCTAGCCTTCTACCTCTGCCCTCTACCAGAACTCTCAGTCAGCCTGCATCAGACCCCCCTCCTCTCCAGAGCCCTCCCTCTCTCCTGTCCCATCCTGAGGATATGAGCTCAGATGCCCCCAGAAGGTTCCAAATGGAAGGAACTGCCATCTGGCTTTAGCATTAACTCCACCTTGTCTTTTTTGCCACGTACAGAACAACCCTCGACGGCCTTATTACTGAGTATTCACCAGTATTCACACTACTTCCTGAAGGACTGTCCTGGACCCTGGAATGTTCCAGCCTGCGTGTCTGCCCGCCCGCCTGTTGTTTCGAGTATCGTGCTGTGTATTAAAACCCCAGTGCGTGCCTGCCGCGGAGCCAGGCCTGCCGTTCACCACAACCCTCTGTTCACCATCCACAGGGCTGGGCTTGCCATCCACTCAAACCTTTCTGTTCCTTGGCCATGGCGGCCAGGCCTGCCATTCACCAACCTCCTGTTCCTCAGCCTGTGGAACCTTCCACCACAGTCCTCCTATTTTTTAGCTGTGGGGCCGGGGCCAGACTGGGGGCAAGCCAGATGGGATGTGTTTTGAAGACTTCCCAGCACCCTAGGCTTTCCAGGCATGCCCAGCCTCATGTCTGCCCGTGGGGTCTCCACTTCCTGCTCAGCCCTGGCGTCGCATGGGGAGGACCCAGAGCTCCCTTTCTCTCCTGAAGAGAGGAGATAGAGAAAGGCTGCTGTCAGCACAGTAAACTTGGGTCAGGCTGGGCTCTTTGGGACCTGGCCTTACCTGGGCCACACCTGGGCCAGGAGGAAGCTGGGAAGGCACCTGCGGGCAGGGCCCAGCCTTTTCTCAGATCTGCAGGGTGGGCAGCCCTGGATGTGGGAGCCCCCAGCGCACACCTCTTCCCACTGCCCCATGTCGTTGGGCACCTCCCAGGGGACTTCATTCCCCACACCTGGCCCAGGTACCTTCCTGCAGGGCTCCTTCCCTCTGGTAGCCTTGACCCCATTGCTGTGGGTCTGTGCCCAGCATGGGCCCCAGAGCATTTATTAAACTGTGGTGGACAAGCAAGTCACAGGCTCGTGCCTTTGGCAGGGGGTGTGTGATGGGACGTGCTGTGTTAACATGGACCAAAGTGAACAAGCAGAGCTTTGCCAAGGGTCACAGGGAAGATGCCATTCCACCGCATGCAGGGGGCAGTCAGAAAGGCTCCTGGAGGAGGGGCCTCAGAATGGAGGAGAATCCAGGGTAGGCTAGTGGAGCCGGCCTTTCAGTGTCCTACAGAAACCACCTGTGATTTTATTCAGCAAGGTCTGAGCAGGACCAGGAGTCCACATCCCCAGCTCTGCATGTCTGCAAGCCACACCTGGAGCAGCAAGACCCAGCCATTTTAGGGGGGGCCGCCTGCCCCTTAGCAGGTCTTGCTCACCCTGGGGGGATGTTCAGTCTCAGGGCTCAGAGCTGGGGTTAGCTTCAGACAGACTGTGTCCGCGTGTTCATTGTCGGCCGGGAGCCACGGTCTGGTGGGGAGGTAGCAGTGAAACCCCTGAATGATCCCTGTAGCTGCCCAGTGCTAGGAGGAAGGATTGGAGAGCCATGGGTGGCAGCAGCCTGGGGAGCATCTCAGTCGGGGGAGGGTTTCAGGGACAGCCAACCTGAGGCTGTGGTAACGCTATGGCTACCCCATCTCCTGTCCACAGGTGCTGGGTCCCAAGCTCATAGACGCAGCTCAGGGTAACCATAGGTTCCAGCATAGGTCCTGGTAGTACACACGCATCCCCCCTTCACCCCATCACGTCACACCCCTCCCCCACATTGAGTGCTGTTCTCGGTGACCAGGAGGCTTGCCAGGCTCCAGCTGTGGACTTTACTCCCTGGGATCGGGGGGAGGGGGGTCCAAATGCCATGAGTGTGCAGGCCTGGGACATTGCAAGGCCAGGCCCTTTCACAAACGTCCCAGTTGTGTGACCAAGCCCCCAGACAGCTGGACATAGGAGGAATGGGGCTGAGGTGAGGGCTGCTTAAAGAAGGAGACACGAAACCTGTCAGCTTTAAGGGGGAAAGATGGAGTTTTCAAGCTACAGACAAAACAGGCCTGGGGAACCTGAACTTCACCCCTTGGCGATGCTCTCGGGAGGGCTGAGTCTGTCCCAACTGGAAGACCTAGCTGGAGCAAGGCCAAGGGCTGCCTAGAGAACTGTCCCTGACTTAGGGGGCGAGGGTTAGAATCTGCCCTCTGGGTTGCTGGTGGCAGGAAGCAAGTGGGCACAGATATCGTGGGTGGGAGTTGAGGCTGGTTGGAAATAAAGGTGACAAGACCACCTCCTCCTCCTTTTGACCCTGTGACCTCTCCCTGGCCAGGCTCTGATCTCCCAGAACTCCCATCACTCAGAGAACAAGGTTCTGCTCCTCGCAGCTGCCCCCTGCCCCCACACCCAGCCTTGTGGGTGGCCTTGCTTTTCTCTCCGCAGGAACATTGCCCAAACTCACCAAGCTGGCTCCACCCCATAACCCCCAGGCCCTGTCCCTCCAGCCCCACCTCGGAGTAGGCTGCAGCCTCAGCTGACCCCACGGTGTTGGAGCCCCATCTAAGGAACCTCTCAGAGCAGAGTTATGGAATCTCCCAGGGACCCCAGCCCAAGGCTCAGTTAAAGCCTCATACAGGGGGAAGCGTGTTTAAATGTGGGCCCCGCGTCGGAATCAAACAGCCTCACTGAGAGGCGCTGGGATGGGGGTCCTCAGGCAGCGCCACAGGAATGCCCACGACCCTGGGGAGTGGGTGGGGGGCTCTGGGACATGCGGGAAGTTAAGAGTCTTCCTCCAGGTCGAGATCGAGACGCCAGTGCCTTAGGCCAAAGGACACACGCACACACACACGAAAAACAAACGCCCTGCCATTGAGTCGATTCCGACTCAGAGCGACCCTATCTATAGGGCAGAGTTAGGTGGATTGGAACTGCCGACCTTTTGGTTAGCAGCGGTAGCTCTTAACCACTATACCACCAGGGTTTCCGACAAAGGAGAAAAGGAGGCATAAATGCACAACGAGGCCTGGTGAACGAACTCCCTTAGAACGAAGCTGCCGAACGAACTCAGGGCTCCAGGACGCAGCCCCCGGCAGCGGACCACAAGCATCCCGCGCGTCATCTTCTAGCCTTTGATACATAGAGAAACAGGTTCCGCGCGGAGATCGCCACTGCGAAGCTGTAGAGGGGCTGGGGCAAGCGGTAAGGAGGAGGGGCCGTGCCAAAGGGGCGGGGCGATGGGCGGGGCGCAGCGTCTCCGAGGCTCCCCGGGAGCTGGCAGGCCCGCCAACGCGGCGGCGGGGCGCGGGCAGGGGGCAACCTTTGCGCGGGGCGGGGCCGCGCGGCTCCCCGGCGGTGCCCCTAGGCGCGCCGCCGAGCCGAGCGCGCTGGAGGCCGCGCTGGGGTCCACCAGCAGCCGACATGGACATCCCACCGCTGGCCGGCAAGATCGCGGCACTGTCGCTCAGTGCCCTGCCAGTGTCCTACGCGCTCAACCACGTCTCGGCGCTCTCACAGTGCGTGTTGGGAGGGGCTGGGCCGGGGGCTGCGGGCTCCGGGGAGCTGCTCGCTCCGCGGGATGGTTGCCCCGGAGGCGGGCGGAGGGAGGATGCGCGGCAATGGGCCTGGACACCGCGAGCCCTGGGCCCCCTGCCCAGCTCCAGCCCGGGAGGAGGGGGTCTGGGCCACCGAGACCTCCCCCTCATTCGAACCGGAAGTCCTCTTCCCACCCGGAAGACGGCCAGGGGGGCGTGGGGCGCTCCTGGGCCATTTGGAGCCTGGGGAGAGAAGAGGTTGAGGAGAAGAACTTCCCACAAGGCAGGGCTTTGGAGACTCTCTGGGGTCTTCCCCAAGGATGCACCAGGCACAGGCTCCAAAGTCACCGGGGTCAAAGTATTGCCGAGATAAGGCCGTGATGACCAGCGATTGCCACACACACACCCTGCCTGGCGGCCCCCACCAGATGGTTCCTCTGTGGCTTCCTGGCTCAGACCTGGGACTTCCTTTTCATTCAGGGCAAGCCCACTCTGCCCCTAGCCTCAGTTTCCCCAAGCCCCTAACACTTCCAAACCCAGTCCAACCCAAGCTGGCCCCTGGGTGTGGATTGCTGGCTCCACCCCTCACAGCCCCCTGGTACCCTGGGTGAACCAGGTCGCCTCTGGGAGCCTCAGTTCCCGCACCTGTGTAATGGGCATAATCCTAGACCTCACTCCATAGTTACGGCTGTTGTTAGGTGCTGTCGAGTCAGTTCCAACTCATAGCGACCCTACGTACAACAGAATGAAACACTGCCTGGTCCTGCGCCATCCTCACAATCGTTGCTATGTTTGAGCCCATTGTTGCAGCCACTGCATCAGGCCATCCTCACAATCGTTGCTATGTTTGAGCCCATTGTTGCAGCCACTGTGTCAATCTATCTCGTTGAGGGTGTTCCTCATTTTAGCTGAGCCTCTACTTTACTAAGCATGGCTGCCATTTAGGAATTGTGTGTAAATGACGTTGGCAAGGAGTCTTGTCTAATTACTATAATTGTCATGGGTGGAAGGGGCCAGGATAGGGATCCAAGGGGGCAGTGGGGTGTCCTGGAAGATGGGGCCTAGAGAGCATCACTGTATGACCCTGGACAGGCCTTCCGCCCTCTCAGGACCTCAGTTTGCCCACCTGTGTTGGGGGCTGCTCAGAAACACTTTGGTGTTATCTATGAAACTGGTTGACCTGCCTTATCAGGTTGGTGGGGGCAGATGTGGCAGAGATGGGGTGGAGTCATGGAAGCGCTTGAACTTTAGCCAGGAGGAGCCTTAAGGAGTAAGGTGCGCAGAAACAAGCACTAGAGACCCTCTGGCATGTGTGGGAGCTGGGCCATAAAGGGGCTTGGCACTGTTGACTGACTGAGTGAATTAAATCAAATGCAAGTCAGCAAATGATTGGATAAATCAGATGTTCCAAAGGTGTGGGCAGATACCCACTGTACCTGGCCCAAGTTGGGCAATGATCCTTTCTGGGGAGTCACGGAGGGCTTCCTGGAGGAAGGGCAACGTAGATGGGCAGTGAAGGATGAATATGAGTTTGCCGAGTAGAAAAGTGACTCTGGAAAGGGGTTTCAGAAGGGGGAAACAGCCTAGGCAAGAGTCTGGTGATGGAAAAGGACAGATCCAGGGAGGGCCTTGTTGGATGGACACACGGACATGTCAGCCTCATCACCACCCAGAGTCTGTCTCTGCCCCACCAGGGTGGGTAGGACCTCAGCACTGTGCCTGGCCTCCTGACTTGGCTTCTTCCTCCACAGCCCACTGGGAGTGGCGTTGATGAGCGCCCTGATCCTGGTACTGCTCTTTGTGGCTATCTACAGCTTGTCCCATGGTGAGATCTCCTATGACCCTCTCTACGCTGGTGAGTCAGTGGGAGTGTACTGGAGAACGGGGGTTGTCTGGGCAAGGGCCTCCATCCCAAGACTTAGGGCCATCAAAGAGCCTCCCGCATCAGACTGGGGCAAGTCCTTGAAGAGCCTCTGCTATCAGGCTGGGGGGCCCTTGAAGGACCTCCCCTATTAGATTGGGGAACCTGAAAGGGCTTCCCCCATCAGACTGGGGCAAGTCCCTTGAAGATCCTCTGCTGGGGGACCCCTGAAGAACTCCCCTATTAGATTGGGGAACCTCAATTGGCCTCCCTGTTCAGACTTGGGGCTCCTGAGAGCAGGGGCTGTGTCTCCCCCATCAGACTGGGAACCCCTGAGAGACTATGCCTCCCCATTACTCTGGGGTCTCCTAAGGTCAGGGGCAGTACTGCTCCCATCACTCTGGGGACCCCCAAAGGCAGAGACTGTGCCTGTTCCATCAGACAGGCAGAATGAGTCAGGTCTGTGGGTCATGTGACCTGGGGGGTGGGGACAGGGAGCAGTTGGGCTTGGAGTCTTTGCCTAGAATCTTCATCCCTGACCAGCAGCCTCACACTGGCCCTGCCCATACCTGCCCTGAGCCATGACCATGCAAGGCCTGAGCCATGCCCATACCCAGCTCTGGCGTCTCCTATACCTGGCCTGGCTCGCCCACACCTGTCCCAGCTCTCCTACACCCTAGTCACCCCGACACCTTTTTTTTCGGGTCCTCCCTTTCCTGAACCCCTTATACTCCTGGTGTGGCCCTCTCACACCCTGCCAGATACTAACCATGCCCAACCTAGGCCCTGTCCACACCTGGCCCGAGCCCCACCCATGCCGGCCAAACTCTGCCCCATAGGCCCTAGCCCCACCCACACCCTGCCCTGCCCACGCCTGGTCTGGTCCACCCACACTCGGGCATAGCCCCATTCTTGCCTGGTCCGAGCCCCACCTATACTCAGCCTGAGCTCTGCACCGACACCCCAGCCCCGCCCACACCTAGGACTCATGGACCCACCACTCTCTGGCAGTGTTCGCAGTCTTCGCGTTCACCTCTGTGGTGGACCTCATCATCTCTCTCCAGGAAGATGGCTATGTGGTGGGCTTCATGGAGTTCTACACCAAGGAGGTACGTGTGGGGGGCAGGCATGATAGGCCCCTTGCCCCCTTCCCCCACCCCCCCACCAAAACCCCCCACATGTCCCCCTCAGGGTGAGCCCTACCTGCGCACGGCCCACGGCGTCTTCATCTGCTACTGGGACGGTACTGTTCACTACCTCCTCTACCTGGCCATGGCTGGCGCCATCTGTAGAAGGTTTGCGGGGCACCTGGAGGGAGGTCAAGTCCTCAGGCTGGGGTCCCATGCCAGGTTGGAGCCAGGAGTGTCAGCCGGGGCTCCAGCCTGGAAGGGGGCTGAGGTGGCCGGAAGAAGATTCTGGGCACCGTGGTCAGGTGTCTAGGTGGCACCTGTGCCTGGGTGGCCACCTCTGTCCTTAGATGGAGGGATTTGACTGATCATTCCCCCATTCATCCCCCTGTTGCCCCTTCCATCCTGGGTGGAGTTGGGCCCTGGTGGAGGCTCTGAGACCAAAGGGCAGGTACCTGCTGGTCACTTTGCAATCACCCACCCAGGAAGAGGTACCGGAACCTTGGACTCTACTGGCTGGGCTCCTTCGTCATGAGCATCCTGGTATTCCTCCCAGGAAACATCCTCGGTGAGGACTTGGCTTTGAGGAATTCGTGGCCCCTGGGCTGGGTCACTGCCCTGTGCCTAGAAGTTCTCCATTTGATCCTCCGTCCCTTTCTCAGCACCTTTAGAGACCTGTCCTCTCTGATGCCTGTTCACCCACATCCTCAGCCAGCAGCCTGCCTCCCCTTCCTCATTTCTTCTTAGGGGAGGAGATCCTGAATCCACTTCTCCAGGCTGCTGGCCCCTCACCCCAGAGGTTTGGCCCCAAACGCTCTTGACATAGGAAGGGACTTTTAGGGTGGATCCTGGGGGCACAGTGAAAGCTTCATAGGCAGGGCTTGGGAGGTAGGGACAAGTGGGGCAGGCTTCCTGGGATGTGGGGATGGTATGGGCAAAGGCTTGGCAATGGGAACCCTCAGGTGTATTCAGGGGAAGTGGTGAGATGAAGAACAGGTGGAATATAGGATATGTTGACCCAGCCAAATGTCCCAATGTTGAGGGCCAGTTCCAGATGGAACTAGAGCCCAAAGATAAATAGGGGCAGGCCACACTGGCTCTCAATGAACATTATTTCATGGGCACTGGGGAGCCATGGAGGGTGTTAGAGCTCAAGCAAGTGAATCAAGATGCCCAGCCAGGGGCTCTGGTGTGATCTGACAAGTACAAGTGGGTCCAGCCAGGCCTTGGAGACCCTCACTGAGTGACATCAGTCTTCCCCACCCTGGCAGGCAAGTACAGCTCAGAGATCAGGCCTGCCTTCTTCCTCACCATCCCCTACATGCTGGTTCCATGCTGGGCCGGCATGAGGGTCTTCAACCAGTCCCAGGCACCCACCTGCTGCACCCCTCACATGGTGAGTACCTTGTCCCAACATGTCTGAGTGTCCCCCATTTGAGTTTCCCTCGGCACCTTGTCCCCAAAATGCCTAAACATCCTGTTTGGGTTCTTTCTGGGACTCCTCAGAAGGGTCTCCTTTGTTGTCAGAAAGGAAGAGATGAGCCTTTACTGAGCACCTGCTGCATACCAGACCGCTCACACTGTTTCTCTCCCATGGGCCAGGTTCAAGAAGAGCAGAGAAAGGGTCTCCTGCAGCGGCCAGCAGACCTGGCACTTGTCATATACCTTGCCCTTGCTGGGTTCTTCACCCTATTCCGAGGCCTGGTGAGTATAAGATGGCCATCCTGTTCCTTTATCAAGTGCAAAAAGACTACTGCTTTCTTCTCTAATCATCCAGGGAAGTTCTTCATTGAGTCTGACCTGAGTATTGCATGGCAAAGACCCCCGTCCTTTTGCCAGCTCCAGTATGTGTGGATTCCCAGCCAGAGGGAGCGATCCAGTGCAGGGAGAGGCCAGAGCAAGGGGTGTGGGCCCCACCTGGGAGGGAGGGGGTGGCTTCCCTTGGAGGGATGTTGTGGTGGGGTGTTAGTCTGTCTGTCTGCCCCAGGTGGTGCTTGACTGCCCCACGGATGCCTGCTTTGTCTATATCTACCAGTATGAGCCATACCTGCGGGATCCAGTGGCCTATCCAAAGGTGCAGGTGAGAAGGCAAGATGGGAGGAGAGCTATCCTGCCCATTAGAGGGGCTGCATTAAGCCTCTTTGGAATCACGTGCCAGAAACACAGGTCAAACTGGGGTAAACACGCAGCTAAAAAGTACAGATAAGAATTTCAGGCATGGCTGGATTACAGGAGCTCATGGGCAGCTCTGTCTCTGGTTTCACTCCCAGGCACACCTTTTGTGGGGTGGCAGAGGTTTTTCTGCCAGGCTTCTATCCACCCTACTCAGCCACCCAAGAAAAAACGAGAGCTCTTATTTTCCTTGAGAGCTGAAGCAGAAGTCTCAGGCAGGCTCTGATTGGCCCATCTTGAGTCACATGCTCACCCTATAGCCAATCATTATGACCAGGGGGCTGGAGTGTTCTGATTGGCCAGGCCAAGGTCACATGCTACTTCTGTAGTAAAGGGGTGGGCTCAGCTCCATCCAGACCACGTGGACTGAGTGTGCAGAGGGGTGGTGGATCACCAAGGAAAATAAGGGAACGTCTTCCAGAGGAGAGGGTTGGGATGCTGGGTGTGCAGGGTCCTGTCCTGGGTGGGGTCTGAGGCTGGCTAGATCCTTGCTGGGTCCCTGCCACGGGTGACTGGGGAGACCCGGCTGGGGCAACTGGTCATTCCATGGGCTGTGTGCCCCCAGATGCTGGTGTACATGTTCTACGTGCTGCCCTTCTACTGCCTGGCCGCCTATGCCCTCATCTTCCCTGGCTGCTCCTGGCTGCCTGACTGGGCCCTGGTGTTTGCTGGAGCCGTTGGCCAGGTGAGGCAGGGTGGGACAGACATGTAGGGGAGATGGTTTCTGCCTGCCTGTCACTTCCTTTTGTGCTGGTGCCTGGGTAGGGTGATGCTGGCCTCCCAGAGGCCTCAGCCCTAGGCACAGCCGCCCCTGAGGGGTGCCCAGTCTATGAGAGGCAGAGCTGGAAACAGACACCCCCAGCTCATGGGGTCAGGACTGGGGAGAGAGAGGAACAAGGGCTGATGTGGGGGATCCAGAGGGAAAATGTTTCCTAAAAGGGAATGGATGCGTAGGAGCTGGGCATTGAAGTATAGGTATTGCATGGCAAAGACCCCCGTCCTCTTGCATTCCAGGAGTAGGAATAACATAAGGAAAGTCAGAGGGGGTCATAACATGGATGAATGAAGAAATAAGACAAATTGGCATCTAGATGCTGAAGGCTTTGAACTCGGCTTAGGGACTTGTGCTGAGGGCACTGGGGTGCCATGGGAGTTGTTTGAGCCAGAGAGAGCCCATCAGAGCTGAGGTCTGTTTCTGGGTTCCTGGTGGTAACTAATAAAGCCTGGGCCCAGGCCAGGGCAGTGGGGACATGGAGGATGTTGGTGGGGTAGAATTGACAAGATTTGTGTCAAAGGCAGCTGAGATTTTGCAGCTAGATGGATGGTGGTGCTTCTGCCTGGGGTGGGGCAGACGGGGAGGAGGAGCTGGTCCCAGGTCGGAGAGGCGGAGGGCGGGGCCAGCAGACAGGATGAACATGGTTCTTTCTGGTCAGGCAGCTGGGAAGAGGCACTGGCGGCTCACAGAGAGGTGAACAAGGACAGGCAGACGAGGACAGGTGGGACAGGGATATTTCAGAGATAGGTGGGCAGAAACTAGAAATGGGAGACAGCTAAATCAAGCAGAGCCAGTGAGATGGGGATGACGGCTCCGGGGCAGGGTGGGGGGTGTCAGAGATGCTGGCCCCACCCCAGCCCTGACATCCCTCCTCCCCGTCTGGCTGCAGGCACAGTTCTCACACATGGGCGCCTCGCTGCACCTGCGTACGCCCTTCACCTACCGTGTGCCTGAGGATGCCTGGGCCTGCTTCTTTGTGTGCAACCTGCTCTACGCCTTGGGCCCCCACCTGCTTGCCTACCGCTGCCTGCGGCGGCCCGCCTTCTTCCTGCGTCAGCCACCCCCTGGCCCCCTGGCCCACCACAAGAAGCAGCACTGAGGGGGCACCAGGCTGCTCAGGACTCGTTTTTACACATCCAGCTGGGTTTGGCCCAGGAAGGTTGGGTTGGGTTTTTTAGGGGCAGGAGGTTTGTCTCCAGGGGTCTTTGGGCCTGGCGATGGTGGTTTCAGGCCTGCACGTGTGATGGGAGACCTGGGGGCCAGGTGTTCCCACAGAAGGGGTCAAGCTCAGCTGTCAGCACCCCAACCCCCAAGCATACTCATCTACCCGCTCCCAGAATTTACCCGTCAGCCCCTCATTAATAGTAAAAACCCTTCTGATGCCCAAAACATCACTGCCTGAGTTTTTCAGGCTGTAAGAGTGACGGAACCCTCTCCTCAGACCCCTCATAGGCCCACTCATCACTGCCAGCATGGACTTTGGGAGCTAGAGGTCCCAGGACAGCAGAAGCCTGTCTCCGATTTGCACGCACAGCTTCATTTTCCAGATGGAGAAACTAAGGCTCAGAAAGGATGAGAGGCCTGCCGGGGGTCACAGTTGGGAGAGAAGGCTCCACAATTCCAGCTCCATCAATAAATCATCATAATGAATAACCTGGCACAGTTATTAGGCGCCTACCCTATACCATGTCAAGGGCCAACCTCACATGCTACATGCTGGATCTCACCCCATATTCCAGATGGGGAAACTGAGGATGAAGCAGTGAAGGCAGGTCAGAGGTCCTGCCTCCCAGATGTGACTGAGCTGAGGATCAAGCCCAAGCCTGTCTAACTGCAGAGCCCCTAACTCTGCCTCTGCTGTCTGGTTGGCTTGGTCTCATTTTGGGGAATCTGAGGCTGGAGAGGCAGCAGAGGGGTCTAGGGGAGAGCTCGCTCTTTCCTGGTTTGATTTTTAAACTTAGGTAAAGGACCAGGTTCAGGGGTGGATCTGGGGCTTGCCCAGGATTCTCCAGCAGCAGTCAGTCACTGGTTCTCTCTCCTGCTCCCTGACCCTACCTATACTTATTACAAAAAAAAAAGGACCCAAACCCATTACCGTCGAGTCAATTCTGACTCATAGTGACTCTATAGGAGAGTGGAACTGCCACCAGGGCTCCTCCTACACCTATTAGGCACCTGCTGTATATCTAGGGTAGCCCTAGTGGCACAGTGGTTAAGAGCTCAGCTGCTAACCAAAAGGTTGACAGTTCGAATCCACCAGCCGTTCCTTGGAAACCCTATGGGGGAGTTCTACTCTGTCCTATAGAATCGCTGTGAGTCAGAATCGACTCGACAGCTATGGGTTTGGTTGTTTGGTTTTTGTATATCTAGGAGCCCTGGTGGCGTGGTTAAAGCACTGAGCTGCTAACTGAAATGTTGGTAGTTTAAACCCACCAGCTGCTCCAGGATGAAAGATGTGGCAGTCTGCTTCCGTAAAGATTATAGCCGTGGAAACCCCATGGGGCAGTTCTACTGTGTCCTATAGGGCCATCATGAGTCGGAATTGACTTGATGGTAATGGGTTTTACTATATATCTAGCCATTGGATCCTCACCAAAGAATCAGCCCCCCATTTCCCAGGGGTGGAAACAGAGAGAGTTCAGGCATCTCTAAGGTTCATCACGAGCAAAGGGCAGAGTTGGGTTTGGATTTGTCACACCAAGCCACCTCTACCCACCTTGACCCAGGCCATGTCTGCCAGGTGTGTGGTCCTTGTGGCGGTTCCCAGTCTGCAGAGTGAATGCCTTTTGGGTTTCAGATCCAAGGTCCCTGGAATGACACAGACAGCCAAACAGGCCTGCAGGCCAAGCCCTTTTCCAGGTCACCTAGCCCCCTGTCCACACAGGATATCTGAGAGGGAAGACCCCCCCCCCACATTGTAAAGATGGGTAAACAGAGGTTCCTCCACTGGCCCAAGGTCAGCTGTCAGGGGCCAGGATCTGGCTGTGCACTCACCGTGGAGCGCGGTCCTTCCTCCCCATCCCCCACCTCGGTGCCCCAGGCCACCCCTCCACCGAACTCATGCTGCTGCGTTCCCTTTAAAGCCCCCCCTCCCCGCCCACCTCCCTCCTCCCCTTGCAGGCAGACACCGGGATTGCGCTGCCTGCAGGGATCTGCTCAGTCTTTCCCAGGCGTGCGGGGAGCGCACTTCGGGCCCGCGGGAGGCCTGGACAGGGGTGTGCGGGAAGGATGGTGAGTGGGGGGCCGCGGCACAGACAGGAAGCAGGTCTCGGTCTCTCCCTCTCTAGGTTATGTCTCTCTTGTCCTCTCTCTGTGTGTCTCTGGATCTAAGTCCTTCCGAGTTTCTTTCCCGCTGTGGCTGCCTGGCTCCGTCCCTTTCTGTCTCTCTTTTCTTTCTCTACCCCTTTCCTCGTCTCTCCCTTCTCTGTGTCTCTTCCTCCCTTTTTCCGTGTCTCCCTCGCAAACTCTCTCCGTTAAGCTTTGTTTCTCCTCTTTCTCTGTCCCTTGCACTGTTCTCGCCCTGTGTCTCTCGCTCTCCTCGTGTCTCTCCCTCTCTCCTCCCCCTTCTCTGTGTGTGTCTCTCGCTCTCCCCGTGTCTCTGCCCCCCACCCCTCGCCGTCCCCGTTTGCTGCAGTCTTCTGGCGCATGGATAACCTTGCCGCCGCCGCGGCTCCAGCTCCTCCCCCCACAGCCCTGGGCCAGGGCCGGAGAGAGAGGGGAACGGGGCTCCGAGTGTCTTTGGTTGGGGGGACCCCGGGGAAAGGCTTCAGGAAGGGGAGACCTGAGCCCAGGGTGTGAGGGTGCCGGGGGCTTGAGGGTCTGCAGCCTTCTTCTCCGCGGACTCCTTCGAGACCCTGGCCGGGGTGGGGGGCTGAGCACGAGCTGGGTCCTCGCCGCAGGGCAGGACGGCCAGGGCGCCGGTCCTTCGACGGACAAAAAGGCCAGGAGCCTGGACGGGGCTGCAGTGGGCGGACCTGCGTCCTTCTGTCTCTCAGGTGTGTGCCCGGGCGGCCCTATGGCCCGGCATGCTCCGGGCGGCGGCCTGGGGGCTTCTGCTGCTCACAGCACCCACGGAGGCGCAACGCGGCCGGAAGAAGGTCGTGCACGCGCTCGGTGAGTCAGGGCCACTGCGCGGGGTCTCTCTCGTCTCACAGGGGCCACTACCGAGACCCCCGAGACTGTGGCCTAGGTGCGCAGTGGGGGTGGGGCATCACTGTCCGCTACAGTCCTCCCTCCGCTCCCAGCCCTCTTCGCAGCCCCTTTATCCGTAAGGTTCCCCACGCCCCCTCCCCGTCCCCTCTTCCGGAACCCCGCCCCCCAGTCCCGCCCCCCTGATCTCCGCTCGGTGCCCGCAGAGGGCGAGTCGGGCTCCGTGGTGGTGCAGACGGCGCCCGGGCAGGTGGTCAGCCACCGGGGCGGCACCATTGTCCTGCCCTGCCGCTATCACTACGAGGCAGCCGCCCATGGCCACGACGACGTTCGCCTGAAGTGGACCAAGGTGGTGGACCCGCTGGCCTTCGCCGACGTCTTTGTAGCGCTGGGCCCCCAGCACCGGGCGTTTGGCAGCTACCGCGGGCGGGCTGAGCTGCAGGGCGACGGGCCCGGGGACGCCTCGCTGGTTCTCCGAAACGTCACGCTGCAGGACTATGGCCGCTATGAGTGCGAGGTCACCAACGAGCTGGAGGATGACACGGGCATGGTCAAGCTTGACCTGGAAGGTGACCAGCTCGAGTGGAGGGGGAGAGAGGGACTGCAAAGGATAGAAACCACATCAGGCTAGCTTGAAGGAATTTAGAGGCTGCGTGGAGTAAGGCATTGGTTTTCGAACAGGGAGACTTGGCTCCCCAGGGGACATTGGCAACATCTGGCAGTGTTTTCAATTGTCACACCTAAGGGGCTTTGCTACAGGCATCTAGCGGGTCAAGGCCAGGAATGCTGCCAAACATCCTACAATGCCCAGAGTGGCTCCCCACAGCAAAGAATTATCTAGTCCAACATGTCAGTAGTACCAAGAATGAGAAACCCTAGGGTAGGGTAAACTTCAGACACAGTGTGATCCAGACACTCACACCATGTCAGGATTCCTGGGCAGGCTTCCCCCTCAGGCACGTCTCTCCTTATGGAACCAAAAACTAGTGCCAGGCTTCCCCCTCCCAGCTTAGCAATCACTTTCCTAGGAGCTCCAGCTAGAGTCCCAGAGTTGTCTCTCATTGGCCCATCTTGAACATGTGCCCATGTCTGAGCCAATCACCATGGCTGGGAAATGGGATGTTCTGATTGGCTGACCCTGGAGCTGGTAGGTGAAGAATTCCCTCCCACCTGGTTTGCCTTCCACTGTCCACCTTAGAAGATTCTGGAGACAGTCCTACTTTGTTACAGTAGCAAACAAAACAGCAGCAGCAGCTCTCCCTTACTGTATATTTTCTGTGCGCCAGGTTCATGGTTGAAGAGCTCTCTGGATTTTCTCATTTAATTTTCCCAACAACTCTGAGGGAGATGCTGTTACCAGTAGATGGGGAACTGGCTCAGAGAGGTCTGAGCCTTCCCAGGGCGCATGGTAGGGAGTGGCAGAACCGGGATTCGAACCAGTCTGTCAAGTTCCAAATCTTTCAGCCCCAGTCTGCCTCTTTCTGGCATCTGCTGAGAATATCCAGTTCACCCCCAAGTCCTTCCCTCAAACACAGCCAGAACTCTGGTGAGCGGAGTTGACTGTGAGTCTGATGAGGATCACGTTCCAGGGTCTTAAGAACGGAAAGTGAAAGTGAAACCAGTTGGTATTGCCTCTGGTGATGCTGGGGATCAAAGGAGTTTTCACCCAGGGCCAGCCCTCCAGGGGCTCCCAGTCTAGGGGAGCCAACACTGGACACAGATACTCCTAGCTGCCTGGGGTCAGGGCTGGACCAGAGGGAAGAACCCACTGCTGGGGAACACAGAGAAAAGCATATAGAACTGAATGGAGGAGGGTTGTGGGAGCTGGGTTTTGATGGATGAGTAGGAGTTCAACAGATGGACCAGGTAGAGAGAACAACGTGTGCAAAGGTCTCCAGCAATGGAAAAGGGGTGAACATGATTAAGTGTTTTAAGGAGAAGGGCTAAGAATTCCAAGCTTACAACAAAGGGGAGCCAAGGGGCGTGTGAGCTGGGGGAGGGCGTGGTCAGTTCTGAGACCAGACCAGAGGTGGAAGAGTCACACAGTGCCTCTCTGTGCCTCGGTTTCCTCCTATGTGAGGTAGGTACGGGCGGGCTGGGGGCCCGGGCTGACCCCTTTCTGTCCCCTAGGCGTAGTCTTCCCCTATCACCCCCGTGGGGGCCGCTACAAGCTGACTTTCGCGGAGGCGCAGCGCGCGTGCGCCGAGCAGGACGGCATTCTGGCCTCCGCCGAGCAGCTGCACGCGGCCTGGCGCGACGGTCTGGACTGGTGCAACGCGGGCTGGCTCCGTGACGGCTCCGTGCAGTACCCAGTGAGTCAGCCCCGAGAGCCCTGCGGCGGGGCCGTGAGTCCCGGTGGTGGCGGCGGCAGCACCTCCGGGGGCGTGCGCAACTACGGCTACCGTCATAACGCGGAGGAGCGCTACGACGCCTTCTGCTTCACTTCCAACCTCCCAGGTGCGTAGGTCCCGCCCCCGCGAGGAGGCCCCACCCAGGCATGCCTGGGCCCCGCCTCTACAGTGCAAGTCCCCGCCCAGCTTGGGAGGCCCCGCCCAAAGTAGGCCTGACCAGGAGACCTGGCCCCAGGACTGCCACTACCTGGCAGTCAAACGTTACTTAGCACTCTAACTGCCCTGGTTGAGGCTGGGTCCCGGACTGCAGGTGTGTAGGTCCTGAACCCCGAGGCTGTGGTTCCGGGATGCAAAAAGGAGTCCTGGATCCCCAGGCCAGGGTCTCAGGCTGCAAAGGGGGTCCTGAACTCCGAGGCTGTGATTCCGGGCCACAAAGGGGGTCCTGGATTCTAAGGCCGGGGTCCGGGGATGCAGGTGTGTATGTGGAAGTCTTGCGTCCCCAGGCCGGGATTCCGCCCTGGGGTACCGCGCGCGGTCCTCACATCCTCCCCGTTTCCCCGCAGGGCGCGTGTTCTTCCTGAAGCCCCTGCGGCCTGTGCCCTTCGCGGGGGCGGCGCGCGCGTGCGCGGCGCGCGGCGCGACCGTGGCCAAGGTGGGGCAACTGTTCGCCGCGTGGAAGCTGCAGCTCCTGGACCGCTGCACTGCAGGCTGGCTGGCCGACGGGAGCGCGCGCTACCCCATCGTGAACCCGCGCGCGCGCTGCGGTGGCCGCCGACCTGGTGTGCGCAGCCTGGGCTTCCCTGACGCTGCACGCCGCCTCTTTGGCGTCTACTGCTACCGTGCGCCCGGCGCGCCCGAC